TATTTGTTTCACTATTTTGTGCTGGTTGTTGCTTTTGTTGTTGTCCGTTGTTGTTTCTATCTACAGAAAGTTGCTGTTGTTGGTTCTGAGTTGGCCTATTGTTGTCAATTACAGGAATGGGTGGTTGTTGTCTATTTATTCCATTGTTGATTTGTGGCACAGGTTGTTGGTGGTTGTCTGGTAAAAGTTGATCATTATCATTGATGTTGTCATCTTGTATTTCTTCTGGATTCAGTTCTTCGTTGTCATTTTGAAAAACCTCTGGTAAATTAGTCGGTCTGTCTTTTGGATCGTAATATGGTTTCATTCGTTGAGCGTTTACCATTGACTTAACCTCTTTGTTTGTTGCACAATTTCTAAGTTTGTAAGTACTATTAGGTCCAATACGGGTAGTATAATAGGGTCCTGACCATTTTCTGTGTAATTTTGGTGCTTTTCCGACAGGAACTTTGGTACAATAAAGCCAAACACGTTGAGCTGGTTGAAATTCAGGTTCCTTAGATTTTTTGTCATATTGTTGTTTATATCTTTCTTGAGCTTGCTTGGTGTTCTTCGCAGCTATTTTTCTTGAAGTTTCCAAATTTTGAAGTATTCTGCTTAAAACTATTTTGTGGTCTTGTGCCAAACGATCTTTTGGTATTAGCGCGGTGTAAATAGGTAATGTCATTTCTCGTCCATAAAGTAAAAAGAATGGTGAATAATCAGTTGATTGAATGGCAGGCGTAGCACGATAGGCCATTAAAATTCCAGGTAGTACATCATACCAATCATCTTGTTGATCCCTTGTATAGGTTCTTAAAGCTTGTAAAATGACAGAGTTCATTCTTTCACATGCACCGTTTGTCTGTGGATGGTATGAGCTAGTAAGGTGTCTTTTAATATTAAACAGTTCTGAAAGAGCTTTAACTAAATTTGAAACAAAATTACGTCCGCGGTCAGATAATAGAGCCCTAGAAGCACCATAACGGGATATTATTTCTCTATATAAAACATTTGCAACTTCATCTGCTTCCTCAGATCTTAACGGAAAAGCTTCACACCATTTCGAATTACTATCAACTACGAGTAACACATGCTTATACTTATCTTTTGTTGTTGGAAGTCCACTTAAAATATCCATATGCCATCGGCCAAAAATATCATTTATTGGTTGAGGTTGTAAAGGTGGTGGTTTTGAATTGAAAGCACGTTTGGACTACTGGCACACTTCACACGTTTTTACATATTGATTAATGTCACTATACATCGATGGCCAGAAATATTTGTTTCGAATTGCAGCATATGTTCGTTCAAATCCTTGATGTCCTCCTCCCAGAATACAGTCATGATAGGCTCTGAGTATTTAATCACGAAGATTCCTTGGAACTGCAATCAAAGTTTAAGGCTTGTAAAAGCAAACTCCACCTACCAAGTCTTCCCTGACAATCTTTGATTTTCTGAAGATATTTAACTGAGATATTGTCTGTATACACTGTGAACTCTTGATTTGCCAAATAATGTTTAAAATGCCAAAGCCTCTTTGTCAGTAATATGCCACTTAAGTTCTGAACCCCTTAATTGTCTACCGCCATAAGCAATTACATGTTCTAATCCATTTTGGATCTGACTTAAAATATATCCATTTGAAAACTCGGAAGAATCTGTTGCTAAGATGAATGGTTTGTCTAAATGAGGAAACGATAAAATAGGAGCTGATGTCAAACAGTCTTTTAAATTTTTAAACGCAATACCACAATCTGGAGTCCACTTGAATCTTTGATCTTTCTTTAGAAGCTTTGTTAATGGAGCTGCCATGTGGGCATAGTCTTTAAAAAATTTCCTATAGTAGTTTGCCATTCCTAAAAAACTTTTAACTTGCTTTGCAGTGGTTGGTCTGGAGAAGGCCTTAACTTTTTCTGTGTTTTCCGGATTGACACGGATGCCGTCTTTTGATATAAAATGTCCGAGATACTTGATTGTTCTTGTTGCGAATTTACATTTTTCAGGATTAAGTTTTAGGTTTGCTTCACGTAGGTTGGAAAACACTTGTTGAAGGTGATTAAGGTGGTTTTCAAAGTTCTTTGAGAAAATTAGAATGTCATCTATGTAAACTAATGCAATTTTGAAATTTAAGTCCTTTAGCACTTTTGTCATCAAACACTGAAAAGTCAATGGAGAGTTCATCATACCGAATGGAAGTCTGTTAAATTCATATACACCTTTATGCGTAATGAATGCACTTTTATTCTTCGTTGCTGGGTCTAGCGGGACCTGCCAGAATCCTGACGTTAAATCGAGAGATGAAAATATTTCTGCTTTTGAATCTGCCAGAGTGTCAAATATATCTGTCATAGTTGGAATCACTGCTGACATGGGTTCTGTTATACGGTTTAAAGCCCTAAAATCTACACATACGCGAATACTTCCATTTCTTTTCTTAACAAGTACGACTGGACTATGCCATGGTGACGTAGACTCCTCAATAATATTATATCTTTCCATTTCATCAAGTTGTTTATCTAGTTCTCTGCGCATTTGTGGTGATTGTCTATATGGAGCTGCACTAATTGGTTTTGCATTACCAGTATAAATTGTGTGGAAATGCAAGTTGGTATGTCCCAGTTCACTTAAATCCTTTGCAAATATGTCCCTATTTTGAATAAGAAAGTTTTGAATTTGTTGTTTTTGTTCCGCTGTAAGTTCCAAATTGTCCAAATTAAATCCTAGGTCTGAAAATTTACTACAAAGTTGATTACTAGTTGTTTTGCCAAGAGAGTTTATAGGAGCAGATGATCCTTTAGTCCTTCTTGGAATGTAAACTGTTGAATTGTAGGATTCAAAAGTTTGTATGAAGCTATGCTTCTTAACACTGTAGAAATTGTCTTTCCCCCGGCTACTTGATGTTCAATGGATAAGTTTCCTTTCGGTTCTAAAATTACTGTTGTTCCATGTTTAAACCTTCCAACATGTACTGGAATTATGATTTCAGATTGAGCTGGTACTTTTACTAGGTCCACTGTGGTTGCCATGGCAATCTGTACGTTGTCATCTAAGAATGTTGGAACAGTAAATGTAGAAACCATGTTCTCCTTTTCTTCAAGTGTAGCACTATCTTTTCCTGTTACATTTGGCACAGATAATATAATTTTTCCAAAATCCATATTCACCTTATGAGCTACCAAAAAGTCCAATCCAAGCAGTATTTTTGAATGAAGCGTTTCGAAAATGTGAAAGTTTTGTAAAATTTTGTGTTCACCGAATTTTATTTCCAAAGTAGTTTGTCCTAGCACTGGGTGTACTTCTCCGCATACTCCAATTCCATTAAAAATTGATGATCTCTGTATGTCAGCTTGTGGTTTTAGTTGTTTTAAAAGAGATGTCGACTTATACAACTTATTGTTGCACTACTGTCAATAAAGCACTTTTGATTTGAATCTTCAATGTTCAGGTTCATATAAACCTTGCATGACATTAAACGTTCAAATACAAATTTGAATTTTTTACGTGTGTACATGGGTAAATTCTAACGACTTACGCTTAGAAATTGAACTTTTGTGATTTTCAAAATTGAGCTTTTAGAAGGTTAGGCCGATAAAAAATTGTTCTAGTAGTTTCGATCTACTGGCACCGTATGCATGTTGAGATTTACTTATTCTCTGGATGATTCCCGTAAAATAATGTCCGATCTTGCAATAAAGTTCAATTTTATTTATACTGCTTTATTGACAAAATCTTTTAGTATAAAAATAATAATAAAAGTTCATTATCTTTTGTCATTTGTTTCATTTCAAATTTTCTTTTAAAAGGAAAATGATAAAGATTTCGCTTGATCTCACTGAAGCTTAAGGCAAAAAATTCAAGAAATTAATACTCAGTGAATGTGAATTGAAAAAAAATTTTCGGTGTATAAAACTAAACTTCTTGTAAATTTAACTTATGAGAAAAACAATTGCACCGGGAATTAGATCCAACATTAAATTTCTCATTTTCAAGAAGGCTACAATGACCGGGAAGATTTAAAAACAAATTTCGATTTTCAGTGCCGGCAATTGCTTACATACAACCTTGTCTTTGTTTTTATTTCTAAAATGAGCAATTTAGATTCATATGATTTTATACTGTTTTGAGAAATACTTTATAGTTTTCAACGGAACATATTTCTTAGAGTTTAAATGAAAATTTTTGAATTCTAAACTAATTATTGAATTATTAAAAATTTATTTGTATTTTATATTAACTGTCTCATTTATTCAAAACCCGTGAAAGAGTAATAACGGAGATCGTATTTTATAATTGGTCAAATGCATGTATAACGTTTTAGAATTAAATACTTAAATACCTATAATTTCAATTCCTTACATTTTAATTATTCAGAAATAATGAATCCACAAACTAGATGGAATAATTTTTATACGCTCGTCTTAGTCAGGACACATGATGGTATAACGTAGTCCGTCCGTGCTTCTGTCCGTCTGTCAACACAACAGTGACAAAGGAGTAGACTGAAAAGTGCGCTGGGGCAAACTTGTGAAAGTGACGAGAGAAAAAACAACACATCAAGTCTAATATAGTCAAATAGTCTATAAGTTAGCCAGTACCATCTTTCATTTTCACTTTTTTATTTTCAATGATTTTGCTAATGAGAGGGAGAGGGCAAAATCAGACTTTCCATTCTAAAGCAGAGTATAAAAGGTTATTTCGAACAATTTTTTATTCCGACGGATGGTGTTCCTGAAGGCTCATTTTGTGCGTCGACAGCATGAGATCTGATACTGATACATGAGAGTGGTCTCTTGTATTACCGTGTAATGACTACTTCTTTAAAACATTATGATTTAGTTTAGTTGTCTAGAAACACAAAGCCTTTATTTAACATCGTCACTATACGACATATACAATGCACGCCAACATATTTGTCGTCTCTTGCATTCTTTAATACTGGAAACGTTTTTCATTCTTACGTTTGATTTTTGACGGGAATGAAATAAATTATATTTTTTAAGATAAAAAAAATAAGAATCTTAAACTCTTGAATATTTAATTTATAGATACAAATATGCTGTTTAACGTGAAATGAGAATTATGCTTGTATATATATATAAGGTTTGATATAATGGGATTTTTTGAAATTTTAAATACTAGTAACAAGCAAATATCATGTTAATATTCGAGAAAACACGAAACTTAGGTTGCTATAGTGACAGAACGAAGTCGGTGACCCCCAATTTTATTCATCATATTGTGTTTCTAAAACCATGAAATACCTTCATACAAAATTTAAAGGAAAAATCACTGGTAGTTTGGTCTTTAACACATTGTCTGTTCCGTCCCTGAAACATGTAATGTGATGTCATGCAATGCGATGATTTTTCCAAAACTGTAGATTTTAATGTCAACACGTGTCAAATTGCCCATTATCTCAAGCATAAACTCTATTGTTTTTGAGATATTCACAACATCTTAATATCAAAGGTTATCAAGACGTCCATGCATTGACTGTTCGGTTCATCTGTTTAAATTATGTTTAAATTCGTAATCTCTTCCATCAAATACAAATCATACGGTTAAGGTGTGATTTAAAACACCCTTGGTTTAGTTGCACTATTCCAATGTCAGAGCTTACAACACGTGTATCAGGGATAACCTTCACCAGATACGCTCGAGGTCAATACATTTTGAAGCCAAATACTATAAAATGCATCGGACATCATACAAGACCAATCCACTACAGAACTAGTACTGCTTCCAATGTTTTTTATTCATAGTTCTCTATTGTTATGGGGAAATTGAACGTGTATTATGTCAACAGATTTGGTTTTTATATCTACTAACATAGACTTTTCGATGATAGTTATGAAAGTAATAATAGCTCCGACTGTAAGGTTGGTAATTTAAGGGAGTACACGTGCGCGATATCTTTTGCCGAATCGTGTATGTGCAATAAGAAAAACACACATGAATAAAAGCCAAAAGAGTATTTTCTTGAAAGGATCTTGTCACTCTTGATTCCTCAAATACCCGCGTTCCATTAATATAATTCTGCTCCTCCTAACTGCAATGCATGTATTTAATTTAGAAACAAAAATGGCACCTAATGCGTCATGCGCTTGTCAAATAAGCCTGTGCTGGAAAGTATTACCACAGCAAAATAATCTGCTTAAAATTCAGATTTATCCAAAGTCGCGTGATCGTCAAAGCAAATAAGCTAATATGAGCATAACGAAATCAGAGATAAATATTTAAACTCGATTGTACATAAAAGAACTTTCTTTTAGTATTCCCATTTAAAACATTAGTACCTATAGGTCATCATATCATTGGGTTTATAATGATGAAAAAATACATGTATGCACTTTTGTATAAACTATATAATTGTGAATACAAATGGAGACTAGATTAAATAATTATTTAACACTTTATAGTTTCCTTGACATTTGTTATCTTTAGTAAGTTTACAATCACTGACTCGTGGAAGGAGACTGTGTACCATTCTCCCCTTTTCTAGCATACTTGAATATCCATACTGTCGATTTAGTGTCACCAACCCATAAGTGTCCTTCTTTGTCCAAGGCCATTGCGTTTGGACCACGTATTCCGTCCTTCTCGGACAAGAGGAACCCGATAAACTGACCACTTAAGTCCAGTAAATGAACAGCGTGGTTACTCCAATCAGCAACTAACACGTTGCCAGACTTGTCAGCAACTACACCAAAAGGATTAAATGGTTTCTTCAAACCAATCTCGGACGGCCCACGGTAATAATGTTTAACAACACCCTGTGTAGTGAGGGTTGTTATTCTTACATTGTTTTCTTCGCGGTCGGAAACGCAAATATCACCAAGCATATTTTCATGAAGTCTATACGGTGCGCAAAATATTTCCTGGCAACCGTCTTCCTCGATTTGGTCCAGAATTTGTCCTGCTTCGTTGATTCTAATCACCATCCTTCGTGACGCTTGACCCCGTGTAGTCACATAGCTGTCTACGGCACATACTAACAGTTGATTTTTCTTTGTGAAAGTTATTCCTCCAGGATACCAATTCAGTTTAACAAAATCTTTCGGATTTAAGTCCTGGTCAAGTTTAACTAGTTTCTTTCCGTCGTAGCTAGAAATATAAACCTCGCCATTCGGACGTCCGTGGATATCATCTATTTGTATGTCCAACTTCTGTGTGCGCAGTTTTACACCTTTATTGGAAAATAGATGCATCTGGTTGGTTCCCCATCCACAACATATCCATGCTTCCTTGTCGGATATTGGCGCTATCGCATGAATTGTGTCCATAACTTCTGAAACTTTGAAACTGAACAAAAGCTGGACATCAAATTGTAAAGCTATTCTCAGGCCCCAAGGTAAGGGTAGAAATGGCATTTTGATATCCGTATCATCACAGTAACCTACCATGTCTTCCAAGCATTTGGCATCATCGGCGCCAACATGAAATGTCGTGCTTTTACAAGATTTTAGGCCTGACTGTGGAATTTCTTTATCCACATGTTTAAAACGATTTTGGACTCTTTGACACATAAGAACAACCTCTGCGTCATTTCCTAGGTTGAGTATCTCTTCAACAGAATTGTTTATAGAAGATACTGAAGTAATTGTGTGTTGTGTAACCTCTATATGTTTGTCAATGCGTTCGTTTTCACCATTTTTGTGACTTTCCACTTCCGAAACCAGATTGTTTCCAATTTTGTCAATTTGATCCTTTAAAAATTGACATCTGTTTGTAATATTTGTGATGGCCTCTTGTGAGTAACCGTCCAGCATTTTTTTACATTCTACCATTTCCTTCACGTAGTCTTGGAGGCAAGGCAGATACTCATGCATACTTTTAATCATTGGATTGACTTTCTCACGTTTTTCTTTCGCGCCTTCATGGATGCCTTTGTATTTGTGTCCCTTGTGATCTGAAACTTTAGCAACACATTCCTTACAGACAGGAATTTCGCAAAGCATGCAATAGAATTTGTTTTCCTCTTTGTGTTTTTCACAGTATGATTTGTGTGACAGTTGAGTTATACTTTTTGTCTCGGGTTTTGCCAATTTGATGACATGATGATCTCGATTACCATCCGTGTCAATATGACGGTTACTACATGTATCACAGAAATTACTTTCACATTCTAGGCAGCGATCTACAGCTTCCGTTGTCTCCGGCTTACATTTATCACAGTTTGAAAACGTTGAAAATGCAGCACTAGCCTGAATAGCCCGGATATAGTAGTTAACTTTGAAACCTTTCACTCCAGATTTTGGAATTACTATCTCCATACGACACATAGGACATGCGAATGATACTTTAGCTTCGATTTTGTTAATGTGTTTGTCTATGCATTCTCGACAGAATGAATGAAAGCACTCTAAAATCCTTGGGTCTTTATGTCTCTTACTGCACAGCATACACTGAAGAGGGTCGGCAGTAGACATTTTGAACAAGAAATCACAAAAATTAGAACTGTATGGTCCGAGATTTTGAATGTGGAACTTAGTTAAGTGTCCGGGTATTTGTCTTTTAATTCAACACTAAACACATGCGTTTAATAATCGGATATGACGAAGTTAATGAACTAAATTTGTATTATTTCCTTTATCACCATAACCTAAACTATTGAGGACTATATCGATTATATATATGTCAAGGTATGGTATTGTACCATCAACGTCAAGAAAAATATTGAGGTTCGCCGAGGGCATAGATATTCCAAATGAAATTGTATTTCATCACACGAAAAACAGTTTGAGATTTAAGTAAGTTAATATTTAATGATACTATAGTGTTGACAATTCTCGAATAAGTTTGGATATGTATTTACGCACATATAACTTACATAGATAAAGTACCCAATAAACATTACATTCAACATGCTCAAACGTGATACTAGTATGCTATTTAAACTGAGATTTAAACATAAATACTTGATAGGTTCATAAGTTATAAGGATATTAATAGTGTATCATTTAAATGTCGAAAGCAGATAAATAAATACTGCTATTGACACTTTAGTTCTTATTTGATTTACCACTTTGTACATATATGTTCTTTTGTTTTTATAACAATTTAATCAGATTTAACTCAGACTAGAAATATCTGGAATTATATATCCACGCCTATGTGTACAGACTTGATTATCTTTAAATCGATGCTTTTTAAAATATGCGTATGTAGACAAAGAGTGGAGACGTGTATATCTTATATAATCGTTAATTATATTTCTCTCTCATTTAGACCATGGAAGTATTACATTTTACTTCCATGTTAAGACTAATGAATATGAAGAAAATTCTTCCGTTTTTCCAGGAACATATACATTGATATACTGTTCCCAGGTTTTTCATTGTTTTAGTATATATATGTTTATGTGTGTCTAAATCTTATTCTTTGACTGCGATCGTTTGAAGTCCGTCATCTTTTTTCCGTTGTCATCACCTTTAACGGAAGCTTCTCACAAAGAAATCACAATATTAAGGCAAATAAAGATATCTATGGACGTAAGAAATCACTAGAAAGTTAATATAACCTTTTGCAAAAAATAAAAAAAATCAATATTTTCAGAATGTAAGTTTAACAAGATATCATTAGGGAGCTACCATTTGATTTTTATGGGGTGGGGTGAAAATTTGGATGAAATTTGAAAAAAAGGCAGGACAAGAGTTTTGAGTTAAAAAAAAAGGCAGGATGAGCAACTTTGCAAAAAAAATAAGCAGGATGACAATTTATGTAAAAAAAGTCAGGATAAACTAATAAAAAAATGGCAGGACCAAAAAGAGTGAAAATTAAAAGGCAGGACAGAGATTACAACTTAGAAAAAAATGCAGGACAATATTTTCTCATCCTAGCCCCCATAAAAATCAAATGGTAGCTCCATTTGATAACAATTACACTGTCTACGTCATGACATTGCTACAGGCTACCTTTGCCTATCCGTACTTAATTTAACCGGATTGGATATTCCTTTAATACATGTAAAATAATAGTCCCGATAATACTTTCAATTTTAGAGTACAGCTAATTCGATTACAAAATTATTAAATTTTGACGTTTATGTCCGGGTATTCAATTTCCTCAATAGAAAATGTTCTATTTTCAATAAGGAGGGTAACATTTATTGTTGTGATTGCAGTTATGTAATTTAAATTTTGAACCTAAGAATAGTGACTTAGTCTAACGAGATATTTTTTGCATGCCAATGATCAAATGTAAAAATGGTCTTCTATAACTATGGAGGTATAACTTGGCCAAATATTTGTTGATCTCCACTAATACTTTCAATGAAGCAATAAAGTCAGTCACTAATGCATGTACTATCTATTCAAATAAAGATGAGATGGATAAATTGGATAAACTGATGTTATGTCTTTCATGTCCCTCAGTTATGCGGTGTGCGGCTCCATTTACTAAAAAGTCCTGGTCACTGAGGAGAGTGGATTCAACAACTGCATGATATGTACACAAAACACCTTACAAATATATATTTATTTCGTCTTCAAACCATTGTTCCACTACTAAATTGTCTAATATTCTATTTACTTGTACACTTGGTACAATAAAAAACCTGGTGATAAATTGTTCAAATAAGGCATTTGAAAATAGTGGAATTAATTACTTTTGGAGTGTTAAAAATTCGTTGGAAGTACTTGATAAATTACATGCTTATATTGGAGATTTCGAATCTGTTAAAAGTTTTGATTTTCTACCCTATATACCACTTTGCCTCATAATCTTATTAAGAAAAAATTCACACACCTAATTAAATGGGCAATTAAAAAATCAGAATGCGAATATTTATGTTCTAGCACTTTTAGGTCATTTTTAGTAACACCAGACAAAAGAACTATGTCAATTGGACCTGCTTTGATACGATAACTGCCCTTGAATTTTTACTAGATAACATTTTTGTTCGCTATGGAGATTCCGTATATCGTCAAGTTATCGGAATTCCAATGGGGACTAACTGTGCACCACGTATTGCGGACCTGTTTCTGTATTGTTATGAGTTACAATTTATGACAAAAATCAGCAAAGACCCATCGAAACAACATCTGATACAAAAAATTAATAACACTTTTAGATATTTGGATGATATATTGGCTCTCAATAATGACGACTTCAGTATGTACACTTAAGAGATTTATCCTGCTGAACTGACTTTAGATAAAGCTAATACTAACAATGAACACTGCCCTTTCCTTAATCTTGATATCTATATCTTTAACGGGAAGCTTAATACCAAAATTTATGATAAAAGAGATAATTTTTCATTTCCTATTGTTAATTATCCATTTTTAGATGGTGACGTTCCCTTGTCACCATCTTATGGTGTTTATATATCTCAACTTGTTCGATTCGCTCGTGTATGTAACAGCGTATTTGATTTTAACGAAAGAGACCTCTGTATTACTGTAAAATTATTACACCAGGGTTTTCGATATCACAAACTAGTCAAAACATTTACTAAAATTTTATCATCGGTACAAGGACAGCATTCGTAAATATAATTCAACATGCAGACATCTTATACGTTCAGGTATTTCACATCCAATCTTTTATGGTAATATTCTATACAAAACACAAAAATGTCGACATTCACCTCAAAAGCTAACCAAACCTTTAAACAGACTTATTCAGAAGGGATATAGTTACGATACTGATGTCAGGTCATTAAAGATGGCATATTTTGGTATTAATATTGATTCACTCATAGGGTCTTTGCATCGGAAATAAACACATTTATTCTAAAACCAGTTGTTGGCCTGATGCGGGTTATGTTCTTCTCATATATTTTATGATGGTATGATACTTAACCCCTAACGGTAGGGATTGTGCTTGATTTTCATATGATGAAGACATAATCTTTCCATCAGTTTAATTGAGGTCTAGAGCTTGCATGTCAGTAACTGCTAGTAGTCCTTTGTTAATTTATGTATCATTGTCATTTTCCTTAGTTTCTTTTGTTACCTATTCTGAAATCGGACTCGAACTTCTTTTGAACTGAGTTTTACTGTGCGTATTGCTGTGTGTTTGTTTATTCTACATTGGCTAGAGGTATAGGGGGAGGGTTGAGATCTCACAAAACATGTTTAACCCCGCCGCGTGTTTGCGCCTGTCCCAAGTCAGGAGCTTCTGGCCTTTGTTAGTCTTGTATGTTTTTTTAATTTTAGTTCATTTATATGTTTTGGAGTTAGTGTGACGTCCATTTTCATTGAACTACTACACATTTTTGTTAAGGGGCCAGCTGAAGCCCGCCTCCGGGTGCGGGATTTTCTCGCTGTGTTGAAGACCCATTGGTGGCCTTCGGCTGTTGTCTGCTCTATGGTCGGGTTTTTGTCTCTTTGACACATTCCCCGTTTCCATTCTCAATTTTACATATATGAATTGATGTCTTTTTTATTATTTTTGTGATGTATTATGTAATGTGTTATTTTGTTTTCATGTATGCCATCATCCCCATTGGGGTATAATAGTACATTATTTACAATAATCTTATAATAAAGGGTTTAATCAGACGTCACAAAACTGGAGCGGCATGTCTGCAATGCAAGGAACAACAGAGTGGACAAAACTACCATAAAAAGAAACAAACAAACAAAAACCGAAATCCCATCAAAATTGGATGAAAATTCTATACTACTAGTATTCAGCTGAAAAATGTACCTACTTTTATCCAATTGATAGAAACAAATATATTAAAAACAAGATTTATTGTTGATTTTTATTTTTTTTTATTTTTCATTCTTTGTGGTATTGTTTAGGTGCGAGGACACTCCTCTTTCGGGGCCTTTTATAGCTGACTATGTGGTATGGGTTTTGCTCATTCAGTTGAAGGCCGTACGATGACCTATAGGTGTTAACTTCCATGTCATTTGGTCTCTTTTGGTTCGTTATTCATTATTCAACTTTTAGAAATGAATAATGAGTATTGAAATAGTTTTTTTTTAGTATACAAGCTGAAAGTGAATACCGAACTAGATAATTTTTTACTTACACATGGCTGTATTTTTGCATTCGCTATAATTTTTATATTAGTGAGGCATATTTTTTTCTGTTTTTTGTTGTTGTATTTTCCCCTTTCAATTAACATTGTAAATTTGTAACTTCAGTACTGATAATTAAAATTGCATCAAAATAAAGATCAGTCTTATAAAGACTATGCTTTAGGTAACCAAACATGGATGGATCTCGAGGGTAATGGTGGAGTTGAAAAACAATATATTTAAAAAAAAACATACTAGAAAATACCTTATATGCTTTTGAACGGGCGAATGCATGGGACCCGTCTTTCTGCAAAAAAACGGATATAAATTATATATAAAAAAATATATCGAAAGCTTGTTTCAAAAAGAACGAAAAACATATAGCCAATTTAGATTACCAAACACATGCACTTGTCTGAAATGTTGGTAAAGCAATTTTCAGAGACAAGTGTCTGTGTTACCAAACATGGACGGAGGGTAACGGAGAAGCTGAAAAACAATATACCTTAAAAATTTAAAAGAAAAGTTATTATAGAAAAATACATATTTAAAAAATAAACGAATCAGTAAGGCGGAGAACTGCTGGAACCACTGGACTCACTTATTGTCATAACAACAAAGTTAACAACAGACATTATATGTTGTATAAATTAAGAATATGTATGTACTATCTATCCAAATAAAGTCATCATATATAGATACCAGGTTTTAAAAATATTGCACCACACGCGCGTTTCGTCTACAAAAGACTCATCGGTGACTCTCGAATAAAAAAAAGTTAAAAAGGCCAGATAATGTAATAAGTTGAAGAGATTGAGGACCCAAATTTCCGGAAGGTTTTACCAAATACAGCTAAGGTAATCTCAGCTATTCCTGGGGTAGAAAAATCAAGCAACCTTTGTCTTGTAATCATATTCTACTCTTTATCAAACTAGTTATAGTTGTGTTTATTATTACCTTCTTAGATAAATCAATTGATGGTTGCATTGTCTATTAAACCATTGTATGTATTTTGCCTATGTATTATATATTTCTTATAAGAATTGAAATTGTATACATAAAACGTGTATATATAACTGTTATGTGAATGGGCAAATAAAGAAATTCATTATATAAAAAAATATATACTGCAAACAAGAAAAGACCCTTTATGCATGTGATTTATTAATGGCTACCGGTATTTTGCCGGCCCCGGCACAATAGAAAATATGCTATTTTGCCAGTTCTAATTAGAATATCGTAATTTAAGCCGGCAAAATAGCATATTTCTATATGAATGAATTCTTTATTTACAAAGCAGTAGTTACATGCTAAAGCAACACAAACATATTTACATTGTGACACACAATAAACAACAGAGAACAATATTATAAGATATTACAATAGACAAATAATCAACTTATTAGATGTGATCTAATCTGCCAGGCAGATTTCAAATAATTACATAATTTTCCAACTAAAGATCTAGATTTTGTTTGATACAAATACATAAGTTTTGTCACATTTGGCCACGAACAGTAATAGACTGGTAAAAACTGAAGCCGTACAAATCTATACACAGGACACTCTAAAGTAAAATGGTACTCATCTTCAACACTTTTCATATTACAGCAAGTACATAATCTGTTTTCTCTTGGTATATTTGTATATCGCCCCACCTCAACATTTAACTTCATAGTACCACTACGTAGCTTTGTGAAAAAATGTGAATTATAATTATAATCTACGTAATCTTCAAAACAAAATTCTAATTTTATGATTCTGTACATAGTAAGTTTCTCACAATCCTGTATAGATGCAAACCAGCTTTGAATATATTGATCTTTTATCCTAGTTTTTATTACATCTAATGACATATTTATACCAGACTGCTGATACCATACAAAGTTTAAACCAATACTAAACAATAGGTCACGAACATAAGAAACCCAATTAGTTTTACCATTATTTGCATCTCTGAGCAATGGCTATTTTGCCGGCGCCGGCAATACAGTGAATTTGTTATTTTGGCGGTTCTTTGTAAAATGTGAATTTCAATATTTACATTTGAAAAGTACTACAAAAATTTGCATTGCCAACTTCAAAGAATCAAATTATTACTCATATAGTAAAATAAGATAATAAAATTGAGAATGGAAATGGTGAATGTGTCAAAGAGACAACAACCCGACCATAGAGCAGACAACAGCTGAAGGCCACCAATGGGTCTTCAATGCAGCGAGAAACTCCCACACCCGGAGGCGTCCTTCAGCTGGCCCCTAAACAAATATGTATACTAGTTCAGTGATAATGGACGTCATACTAAACTCCAAATTATACACAAGAAACTAAAATTAAAAATGATACAAGACTAACAAAGGCCATAGGCTCCTGACTTGGGACAGGCGCAAAAATGCGGCGGGGTTAAACATGTTTTTTGAGATCTCAACCCTCCCCCTATACCTCTAGCCAATGTAGAAAAAACAAACGCACAACAGTACGCATAGTAAAACTCAGTTCAAGAGAAGTCCGAGTCCGATGTCAGAATAGGAAACAAAAGAAAATAAACAAAATGACAATAATACATAAATAACAACAGACTACTAGCAGTTACTGACATGCCAGCTCCAGACCTCAATTAAACTGATTGAAAGATTATGTCTTCATCACATGAATATCAGGCACAATCCCTCCTGTTAGGGGTTTAGTATTATACCATCATAAAATATATGAGAAGAACATAACCCGTGTCATGCCAACAACTGGTTTTAGAATAAATATGTTTAATTCCGATGCAAAGACCCTATAAGTGAATCAATATTAGAGCCAAAATATGCAATCTTTAATGACCTGACAACAGTATCGTAACTATACCCCTTCTTAATAAGTCTGTTTAAAGGTTTTGTTAGCTTTTGAGGTGAATACGGACATTTTTGTGCTTTGTAAAGAATATTACCATAAAAGATTGGATGTGAAATACCCGAACGTATAAGATGTCTGCATGTTGAGTTATATTTACGAATGATGTCCTTATACCGATGATTAAATTTAGTAAATGTTTTGACTAGTTTATGATATCGAAAACCCTGGTGTAATAATTTTTCAGTAATACATAAATTTCTCTCGCTAAAATCTAATACGTTGTTACATACACGAGCGAATCGTACAAGTTGAGATATATAAACACCATAAGATGGTGACAAGGGAACGTCACCATCTAAAAATGGATAATTAACGATAGGAAATGAAAAATCATCTCTTTTATCATAAATTTTTGTATTAAGCTTCCCGTTAATGATATAGATATCAAGATCGAGGAAAGGACAGTGGTCATTGTTAGTATTAGCTTTATTTAAAGTAAGTTCAACAGGATAAATTTCTTTAGTATACATACTGAAGTCGTCATTATTGAGAGCCAATATATCATCCAAATATCTAAAAGTATTGTTAATTTTTTGTATCAGATGTAAGATAACCATATTTGAGATACACATAATCGTTTATAAACATTTATGATTCCAAGTGAAAATAGGAATTTGTAAAGACATAAAAATAAAAATATTGAGCATCCATTTGTAGCAATGAAATCATCAAAACGTGTAGTTTAAATTACTTCAAATTTAATCACTCACAGTCTAATATTGCATTTGAATAAAATCTCAGATTTTTTAACTGTATGATGTAAAAAAAATAAAAATTGCATATAAATTTGATAAAATATTACATTTAATAAAACATTACACAATCTAACAAAACCTATCACAAAGCTTCAAAATTAAAAATGTTTAATTACATTTGCTTTTGTTATTGAAATAATATTCAGTTCTTTGAATTGCGTATCTGTAAACACAATTTTTTTTACAGGCAAAATTGGCTGCCGCTTACCTAGTGCCGGCAAAATAGCCATTGCTATAGAAATATGCTATTTTGCCGGCTTAAATTAAGATATTTTAATCAGAACTGGCAAAATAGCATATTTTCTATTTAGCCACTGCCATTTTTGAACGGACAAATGCTACGTACCCGTCTTTCTGGAAAAACGGATATAAATCATACATCAACCGAAAGCATTTTTCAAAAGGAACAAAACACATAGTCAATTTAGATTATCGAACATGAATGAAGGGTAACGGAGAGCTGAAAAACAATATACTTAAAAATATATTATAAAACTAGAAACGACCGTATAAGTATGGAAATTTTGAACGGACAAATGCGACCCGTCTTTATAGAAAAACGAGTATACATTATAAATCAATCGGTAAAATTTTAATTAATTAAAAATGCTTAATTCCATCTCGGATAGTTTCGACATTACTCGTTACCTGTTTGTATGCATAATTTATCGTTCGTATTTTAATCTTCTTTGATTGGTTGATAGAAATATCTGTTCACTTCTGGCAAATTTTATATTCCCTGGTCATTTGAATTAGTTTACTGGTCAATTCAACACGTTTAACTTATATAGTCAATTTAGACTACCGAACATGGATGGAAGGTAACGGAGGAGCTGAAATACAATGCACTTTTAAAAAAAACTATACTATAAAACTACAATAAAAACCTCACTGAAATGTCGTCTTTCGATCTTTTGTTTTACGAGAAACATGTTCCAATCTCTTTTCCTCGAATGTGACCTTCCGACATATACTTTTCACCGGGTTTGTACTTACATGAGCAACACGACAGGTGACACATGTCGGGGGCAGGATTTGCTTACCCTTCCGGAGCGCCTGCTGGTTTGTTTCAAAAGGAATACAATGTATAAAGTCAATTTAGATTACCGAACATGGATGAAGGGAAACGGAAGAAATGAAAAACCATTTACTTAAAAAATATAGTATAAAACTAGAAAAAAACTCTATATATGGTCATATATGTAGACTTTCTTATCTCAAACAGCAGTGATGCAAACAACCTGAGAGATTATTTTTTGTATTGATCTGTAATATGACATCAAATGGATAAATCAATATCAATAACTTGGGCAATCTGATATCTCATAAATTTTAGGATGAAATCTTATGTATGACCTTTACCGATTACTCGTTTTAATCATTAATGTCAAAACTTTCAATATATGAAAGTTGTGGTCTGTTATAACATTATAAGTGACCACTAGCTGACAAAAATATTTTTATGATTTCCGGTTGCAGTTTGGCCTTCACCTTTTTAAAAGATCTATACACCACACTCAAAACAGCTAAATATTCCTAGCATAGGTACACACTAGGTTTTATTTCAAAATTGAAAAGTTAAACTGTACGAGAAAATCGTTTACTGCAGTCGGCGACAGGCCTGCAAACTCGAACTGTCTACTTTTGACGCTAGCTCTTTCATTTACAAGATTCCAAATTATTTTCGATTTTATCACGTAGGAACTATGATTTCCCTAAATGAGTAACATAGTAGGCTTTGTTAAATTTAGCTGCGGAACCGTAGCTCTTAGGTTCTTATGATATTTTTTTACAATTTCGGAAACAACAACATACATGTAATCATTACAATAGTGTCCGGTAATTCCGTCCGTCCGGTAAACCCGCCCACTCCAATTTACTTCCGTAATTGTCACTTCCATGAATATTTCGTCTGCTGTTTTATTCATAGGAACTGTACTTATCATCACTGCATGTAAAATTTTAAAGAAAAACGGTCTCACTAATTAGCAACAAGAAGCGACAAGAAGAATAATTTAGCGACAAGAAGACTATTTAGCGACAAGAAAACATTTTTTTTTATCAAAATTTCTTATTCCAAATAAATATTAAAAGAATATGCAAAAGAAAACAATTTTAGCGACAAGAAAAATAATATTCTATCAATAAATAGATAGAAAAAAATTTTGAAACATATATAGATCTAATTGCGACATTTATTTGTGATATTTTATTATTTATTATGTATAAAGCAAGTATAATGTTTACCCTGTCGTATTATGATATTAATTTTACTTCTGTTTTAGAACATTAATATATCTATCTTATAATTTGTTTTTAAAACTCTCTTTGTACAATATAATAAACTTGCAAAATGCATTATTTGTGCATCATTGTCCAGAAAATACAGACACAAATTGTGAAAAACAAAGAACTGAAATCAAACAAGAGGAAAACATAATTAAGATGTGAATATTTTTCATCATTTTATTTTGTGTATTGCCTCATTTAGCGATATTTATCATGTTTATGCATAGTCTAATGTTGATTGAAGATTGAAGGAAATTAATGACAATCTTGAGTTTTCAACAGGTGTTCACTATTTACAATGATTGTATATTCTGTTGCGTGTAATTGTATAGTCTGACGCGTGTACAAAGTTGAAGGTGTTAATTGGATGTTATTGTAGCGATAAAACAAGGGACACGGGCCTCGAGTCGTTATCCCATTCTTCCTTACAAATGTTTAATTTCTTCATCTATCAATATAATAATAAAAACTACTCAATCCCTTTCTTCCTCACAAATGTTTAATTTTTTCATCTATCAATATAATAATAAAAACTACATAATACCTTTCTTCCTCACAAATGTTTTAAAATTTCTTCATCTAACAATATAATAAAAAAAAAAATAATCAATTTATTTCTGCCCATATATTAAAAAAAAATTAAATGCATATTTTTTAATATTTATTTGGAATAAGTAATCTTAATAAAAAAAAAATGCTTTCTTGTCGCTAAAATTATTCTTCTTGTCGCTTCTTGACGCTTCTTGTCGCTTCTTGACGCTTCTTGTCGCTAATTAGTGAGACCCAAGAAAAATCCTGTATTACGAAAATATCTAGTGATGTATATGATACAGTTCCTAAAGCTAATGATAATCATATTATTGCTTACAAATCTCATTTCTGACTTGAATTATTTTGGGGATTATCTGGAATCCCTTAATAAATGGTCTATTAATAAATAAATCACCTTTTCCTTTCATAAATTTGTGATACACTGTCCCTCTATACATATTTACTGCGCATGGGCGGATTTACCGGACATACACATTTCCGATGAAAACACGGATGACCCACTTGTTTTGTTGATTTAAACATTTATTTCAGATATTTTTTGGGAAATGAGATAAACTACTCCAAGTCGATTTGTCAGTGAATCGATTTATATTAAATTTGATACAATTTGTATATAATTAAGCAGAAATACATACGATCAAAGCCTTATGTTGGTGGATTTACCGGACTGCATCGTAGTTATGCTCGGGGGAGGGGACAGGCACTGATACTGATAGTTTTCTCCACCTACTGTGTCCTACATGTCCTATCACCTTGTTTATAGGATTTTTTTAGGAAACTTTAGTTGATAAAGAGAATCATTCCAAAGTAAAAATGATCAACAAAATATGATCTACAAATAAGCATGTGAACATGGACGAATCATCAGTTAACTTCTTATTGGAGTTATTGCCCATGAATGACATATTTTACTCATATTTTTTGTTTTTTTTGCAGAAACTATAATAGATGGAGAGAATTTGTAGGAAGCACAAGTGTTTAGAAAAATAAGATCTACTAAATTGTCAATAAACTGCTAGTAGGAGTTATTGCCTTTGAAAGGAGGTTTAATTTATTACTATTTATAACTGATTGCAATGAAGGAAAACATAAATATCAAAATGGTATAATTTTTACCAGGTGAGTGATTCCGGTTTTTGGGAGCCTCTTGTTTTGAATTTTAAAAAAGTTAGTATTCTTGAAAGTTGTCATTATTAAGAAGTTTTATAGGCTATATATATAAAATGTAACTTCTCAGTAAAAATGTTTACTAGGACTAATCATCTTTTCGATGTGTATGTGCCATTTTAAGTATATAATATGAATTTTGAAAAAATGTGTTTTATCACTAGAAAAATATCCCTCATTTGAGTGGTTGTTTCTCATTTTGGGAACTGTTCTCCATTTGAAGGGTTGTCCCCAACCTGTTTATGAATAAATTGCCATACACATGTAGTTGACCATGGCATTGATATGGACAGATGATGCCAGAGGATCATTCAAACTCATAAGTTGAAGAATAAGTGGAAACCCCATGGTAACAGTATGGTTTAATTATTTACCAATTAGGTAAAAAGAAAGATTTGAAGGTTAATTGATTGATCATGTTTATCCTTTACTATAAAACGTTATTATTTCAGTATGATATCACAGTGCCATTGATATGACATCAAAAACCGTGAAGTTAAGCTTGTCCAGTATAGAGGCTGATGAAGGAGATGGAGCTGTAGTTAGAAGAAGTATAGGAAGACCAGAGGTAACACTCAGGGTTTTGGGGGTAAAGATTGCAATCAAAACCCTTGTGCTACTGGCTTGATCTCTCTATTTTCCAGGTTATATTATTACTTTTGATAGTTCAAACAATAGAGTGCAGTGAGGAGAACATTCTTTAGATCTTATCTGGCAAATGTTACATTAATGTGTTCATTATAGATTATCGATGGTATTTCAAACAAGAAGGTGTTTCCCCACTACAATCTCATCCAAGGCGACAGCCCTGAGATGAGATGTACACTGTAGCCGAGAAACATTCTAGAGTTTGAAAGACCATTTAAAATCTTTTTATCACTATTTTCCTAGGCAATGATATTGACCTTGGCTCATGACATCATGATTTTCTTCCTGCTGGACTGAGAAAAACACATATCACTTGAAAAGCGTGGTATGGAAAATTATCATACAGAAAGATCGAAGGAAAAAAAACTACAAACAAAACAGAAAATAAAGACAACTGCAACCTTTTGGACAGGAACATTGAGTATGTGGAAGAGTTCAACATATTTTTGAGTGCACAACCTTTAAACTTAATTATACCCCACGCAACGAGTTGCGGAGGGTATAATGTTTTTGACCCGTCTGTCCGTCCGTCCGTCTGTCTGTCCATCCGTCCGTCTGTCCCTCCGTCAGTCCATCAGTCCTGTTTCTTGTCATCGCAACTCCTCTCAAACCACACAACAGAATTTCACGAAACCTTTTTAGATAATAAGGACATACTATGTAGTTGTGCATATCGACAGGAAATTACGATTCAATTCTTTTTCTAGGAGTTATGCCCCTTTGAACTTATTTACTTTAATGTACTACTGCAACAGTTTGTCATCGCAACTCCTCTAAAACCACACAACGGAATTTCATGAAACCTTTTCAGATAATAAGGACATACTACGTAGATGTGCATATCGACAGGAAATTACGATTCAATTTTTTTCCCAGGAGTTCCGCCCCTTTGAACTTATTTGCCCAATATACTACTGCAACCTTTTGTCATCGCAACTCCTCTCAAACCAAACAACAGAATTTCATGAAACCTTTTCAGATAACAAGGACATACTATGTAGATGTGCATATCGACAGGAAATTACGATTCAATTTTTTTTCCAGGAGTTACGCCCCTTTGAACTTATTTGCCCAATATACTACTGCAACCTTTTGTCATCGCAACTCCTCTCAAACCACACAACAGAATTTCATGAAACCTTTTCAGATAATAAGGACATACTACGTAGTTGTGCATATCGACAGGAGATTACGATTCAATTTTTTTCCAGGAGTTACGCCCCTTTGAACTTATTTGCCCAATATACTACTGCAACCTTTTGTCATTGCAACTCCTCTCAAACCACACAACAGAATTTCATGAAACATTTTCAGATAAAAAGGACATACTACGTAGATGTGCATATCAACAGGAAATTACGATTCAATTTTTTTTCCAGGAGTTACGCCCCTTTGAACTTATTTGTCCAATATACTACTGCAACCTTTTGTCATCGCAACTCCTCTCAAACCACACAACAGAATTTCATAAAACTGTGTAGATAATAAGGACATACTATGTAGATGTGCATATTGACAGGAAATTATGATTCAATTTTTTTTTCTTACACTTATTTTATTTCTCCAATGACAATGTGGGGTATGTGAGCGCGCTCACTAAGGTTCTTTCATTTTCAATGTAAAACAATAATACAATGCAACAAGCTCAGGATAATATTAATATATTACATAACAAATGAAATATTGCATACAGCATCTACATATAATTTTTATGCCCCCGCCGTAGTGGAGGGGGCATTAAGTTTTACCCTTGTCCGTCTGTACGTCGGTCCGTACGTACGTCCCAAAACTGGTTTCCGTTCTCTAACTTGATCTTGTTTGCTTTGATGGTCAACCAATGTACAGTTGATATTTCTAGTGTATATTACTCCTTTCAGTTAAAGCTGCTAGATCCATTTTTAATGTTAGATGAATTTAAAGTGAAACCACCAGCAGGATTTCCTGATCATCCACACAGAGGATTTGAAACGGTAAGTGTCACTCTTAAATAGCTCCACAGTTGAACCTCTCCTTTTTCTTTAAAATATTGGTCGTCATTTTTTCTCAGGATGATTAGTTATCTAATAGCACTGTAATTATTGAAAACATAGAACAAGCTGAGAAAAGCATCAAGATATAAGAAAATGGTTTGTTAATAGATGTAAATTAAATCCTACATGTAAACAGTAAGCAATTAAGTAAAAAATATTTTTTGAAAAACTGTGTATTTAAAGTATTTCTTAATTTCTGTATTTTGATTTGTGAAACTATTATTGTTTGGCATATTTTAATTCTCTAGTACAGTTATTTTCCTCATTACAGGTGTCCTATGTTCTGAAAGGTACAGGACAACATGAAGATTTTTGTGGTCATAAAGGTGCTTTGAATAGTGGAGATGTTCAGGTATATTATAGATAAATGCGATTTTTTTTTAAAGGAGAATTTGTGATTTGGTTTCAAATTGACCAAAATATGAAATCATTTGAATTTATTTTCAATTTGCAGTGTTTATGTTGAAGTTATATATTTAAATAAATCATTACAGTTTTGGTTTTAAATATTTCCTTTTCTTGTGTTATACAGCCATAAAATGATCTGGCACTGAAAATTGTAAATTACACAAAATATTAATTGATTCATACATGTTTAGAAGTAGAATAGAGCACAAAACATTACTGGAATAGATTTTTGCACAAAAGAGTATTTTGTTATTATCTATTAGCTTGAGAAAAAAAATTGGGGCTTTGAACATATATATTGAGGAGGGAATCTTGTTGTTAGAAACTAAATAGATATGCCATGCATTTCCTAGTTTTTCCATCCAACACAATATTGTGTCATGTATGCATTTCACAAAGGGGATGATGTTATGTTTACCAAGGAAGTTCATACTAAAATTGAAAATCATGTTACGTTATATTTAAAGGGAGATAACTAATTCCTGCCTGACATATTTTTGTTAAGACTGTCCTTTCTTTGGTAGGTTAATAACTGATTTTCTCTTAAGTTTAAATCACCTTATTACAACCTTTTTCTTTTATTTTCATTTTTGATTCTGAAACCTAATTCTAGGAAAAGTTCACATCTATTTCAGTGGATGACTGCTGGACGTGGTATAGTACATTGTGAGATGCCTCAGGGAACAGACGAGGCTCATGGGTTACAGTTGTGGGTGAATTTAGCCAAAAAAGATAAAATGATTGAACCAGCCTACCAGGAGTTATTAGATAAAGATATCCCAAGGTCAACAGAAGATGGCACCACCGTCAAAGTCATTGCTGGTAAAGCATTTGGCAAAACAGTAGGTTCATTAATATTAATATTAAGACTTCAACAGATAGCAAATAAGGAGAAAGTTGAATACATATATCTCCAACTATCTACTGTATAGCATAGGAGGGAGTCAATTATTATAAATTCCATGACTTCTTTGGCCATTTTACTATCCATATACCGAAAAGCAGCAAAGTTGATGGTAAAATGGAAGAAATTGTGACCATTTTCTCTCTTAAAAATTTGGTTTCTCCACTTTTTTCCATGCATTTTTTTAATTTCACATTACTTCAATATTATCTTGAAAACTTCAGTCTTCTGGCAAGTTGATTAAAGTGAACTTTTGATAACAAAACCAGCCTTAAATCAGAACATTTTCATGCCAGGTCAAACATCTACAATTTCTATTTAAAGGACAACAATGTACAGGGTTGACTTCATAGACTTTTCCTACTAGTAAACATAAAGATAAGGAGTTGTTGTATGGTTGCTAATGAGGTAACTATCCACCAGAGACCAAATGATGTAAATGAAGAGAAAATTTTGTTATAGGAAACCTTAATGCAACTGTAATGGAATTTATGTGTTGATGATCATTAATTTTTCTTGCTAAGTAATTGTATAGAAATCAGTCTGAGCCTCACAGTATATTTTCATAATTTTAGGAATCTTACTCTAATGATCACTCTCCTCAGTCTCCTGTTTGAAGGTCAAATCTTCAAGTTTCTCCATCTTTCATCATTGTTTAATTTGATATAAATAATACATGTAGTTACCCTTTTAAAATGAAGGATTTCCAATTTATTATTGTTTCTTTATACACTATAGAGAACTCAAATTACCAGTCATGTTGGATGTTTTTGATATTAAATTCATTAATGATTGAATGTTGGCTGTAAGAATAATTTTCCACAATAACACAATAAACGTTCTATGAAAAAAGATACCAGATATATTTAGAAGGACATTTCCTAAAATTGATGTTTGAAATTTTGACTTTTATGTATATGATTTTCAGTCCCCTATGTATACAAGAACACCAACAATGTACCTAGATTTTAAAATGCAGAAAGGCTCCAGTGTTGATCAACCTATACCAACAGGCTGGAACAGTTTTATATATGTCCTATCAGGATCTGCTCATTTTGGTAATATATTTTCTACATTTTAAAACATGGACATGTCCTTTCAGGATCTGTTTGTGGTAAAATATTATTTGTAATTTGATTTGATTGATTGATGGATTGACTTCCAGTGGAATATTATCATCAGTTGAACCAGGTGTATCAATGCATGTTCTTTTGGCTCTTTCCACTTTGTTAACTGATGTTAAAATGTCTTTTTCTGTATAATTTGGTTAAAGTCTTTTAAAAAAAAGAAATAATGTTGTTTAGAATTTATTGGTTTAAATATTATTTGTGTTGCAGATGATAAAAAAACATAAAAGAGTATTCTCAGATTGAAGTTGATATGCATCTTGTATCGGTGCAACATTGATCAAATCTCTTTTACTGATTGGTTGATTGATTGGTGTTTGCCTTACCCAACATCAGCACAAAATGGCTATATCGTGACAAGACAGCAAAAACTTAAAAATTATATTTAGTCTCATCAAATTCAAGTTTCTGCAATGCTTTCAATATTGTTATTTAACACATTTGCTTTCAAGATCTGCTGAAAATTGTTGTTATATTTGGTTTATGACTTTGGCCTTAACTGTCTGTTACATGTGTTGATCCTATAATTTTCTTTTTTAAAAGAAGATGTCCTATTTCATTGATAGGATACGTCCCATCTCTAAATACAATAACAAAACTCTATATATTAACGAAGAAGTATTTCACTTTGTACTACCCAAACTTTATAAAATAAAAGTTAAAGGCTCATGAAACAGTTAAAACAAATGAGAAGTCAATACAAGGAGGCAATGAAAAGTCATCAGTCAAAGAAAAACAGATGAGGCCATTGCATAAATTAAGGAAGAAAATACAAAACAAAACACTATCTATAGTTTGAGCAATAAGAACCCTCCTTAATTAATTTATTGATATATTATATTTTAGGCAACTCAGATAAACCTACCACTGGAAAACCTTATGACACCTTAGTATTAAGTGAAGAAGGGGATTTTATACATATTTTTAACCAAGTAAGTTTATATGGAAAAGGTTCATTCTTTAAAATCAAAATAAAGGCTATCATCAAAAACAAATATTAGCTTAGGCTTGATGACACAATGCGACTGTGATGTCCTGAAAGTAAAATCTTCAAGTGTTATTGTCAGTTTCCGTTAAAAATTAGGCTTATTTCAGGAATATTTAGGCTAATAACACAAGTGTTGTCTTAAACAATTTTTTCAGTGATAAACATTTGATATTTGATACATTTCCTTAATGAATATCATTTGGCATGAAAACATTATTTCATAGCGTGTTTGCTACAAAAAGTCAATATTATGCATCAGTTCACCCCTTGACAGAATTTTCACATTTTATGGCTTTAAATCCCATGAAAAGTAAATTTGTTGAACTAAAACTACAATGCTATATTAAAGTACATAGATACAATATTAAATTTTGAAAAATAGTGAAGTTTTGAAAAACATTTGATTTTAGGGTGATTTGGTCCTAAATCATTCATCATTTTTTTTTTTTATTTAAAAAGTATTTTTATTACTTTATAGGAATCAGATACCTGCCATTTTGTGTTGATTGGAGGACAGCCTTTAAATGAACCAGTTGCTCAGTATGGTATGTAGTTAAAACTTAATGATGTGCCTGTAAGACAAGGATGTCTTTCCTTCAAGTGAAATATGTGAAAATTCTAATATGTAGACCTTAAGACAATCATAATGTGACCGGGTACAGGTACTAAGGCATAGCGCATAGATAGGATGCCCTTAATATACCATTACAGGTATTTTATAATACAGAATAACTCACCTGGAGTAGGTCCTGTATATCTAAAAGTTTAATTTTCTGTTTAATTGTAATCAGCATTGGCAATTTGGTCAGACAATTTTTTGTTCTTTTTGCATAATCATGCTATATAAAATTTTAATTAACAAAACTAGGTATCAGACCAATTTATATTGATGATATTGTTTTGAGAGAGTAAACATTAATAAACAAGTTTTTGCATTCTATTTTTATGTTAACATCAATATATTTTTTTGTTGCGTTTTGGCCCAGCAATATCAAAATAAGTGATTCCTTTCGAAAAATAACCAAAAAAAATAATTCTAGTTTTTGTTGCTCACCTGAGCAAAAGGTAAAGCGTCGTCACTTTGTATGTCGTCCAACTGTAAACCTTTTCCAACAATTTCTTTTCTTTCTGAAATGTACTCATTGTTTCCCTAAAGTACTTGTCCTATAAGATTTTAATTAATCAAATGCTGTCATTATTTTATATTGTTTAGGATGTAGTCATTAAAACTGTTCAATTTATTCTTACTATTTTTATAAATTATTCAGAAATGGTGTTGAACTATGGGAACATCATTGTTCAATTCAAAGATTTTATTGTTTAAATCAATTATATCCAAACAAAGGGATTGGATGAAGGCTCAGCCTAAATAAATCCTTTCCCGTGAGATCATCATTGTTTTAGAGGTTCCTGATTGGTGGAAAGTTTATATACACATATTCTGATACTGCAGAACATAGTTTACAAGGACAAAATTGAGTTTTTGATTGGTCTGTTGAAAAAAGGAAAAAATTTGACATTCATTGACATATTATCACAGATATTCACACAAAATTATTCAATTGTTTTCACTATTTATTACGACAATCACTTTTTACATATCAAATAGTTGATTTAATTGCTTTATTTTGATGCTGTTTTTAGGTCCGTTTGTTATGAATACAGATGAAGAAATAGAACAAGCCTTATTAGATTACAAACTAGGACAGAATGGTTTTGAGAATGCCAAGACATGGAAATCTGAGTATTTGAAAAATGGATGAATCCTGCCATAGAACCAACCAATATCTGTGATAGATACTTTAATCTCACCGTTATTTATTATTGCACTAGTAGAGAGTTATAGAGAAAATACTGCTGCCATCAACCAATATTATACATGTACTGGTGAACTTTTTATCTTCTATCTTATCTTTGACTAGGATACAACTGATTTCCTTCTTGATTCTCGCCAGATTGGATTGTGTACATGCTATATTCTGATTGTATTCATTATATTTGTATAAGCTATGTTTTCATCAGCAGTTATGAACAAATACTGTTATATGCTGTAAACCAACTAATTTTTCGTGATCTATTTATTTCATGAATTTCCAGGAAAAGAAAGATATTACGAATATAAATCGTCACGAAGATGTAAGCCTTGGATCCTTCTTTATATAAATACATCAAGAAAATTTAAAAGCCATGAAGATAAATCGCCTGGAAGTTTGCCAGAAGGACAAAACGCGAAATAAAGTATCTGCAAAAATAAGTTGGTTTACAGAATGTCAAAATTAGCATAATAAAAAAAATCTTTTGGTAAAATTGCAATATTTATGTTAAACATTTTCCATTTAACTTCATACTTTGTAATTATTTAACCTATAAAACCATAAATATTTGTCATCTACATGTAACCCCAGTTTATGGGATGAATGTATTCCAATAGTTGTAACATTAAAATTGTTAAAAATTGAGTAGATTTGACTAGTTGATATTAGACTGTTAATGGTTGGAGCATTTTCACTATAAAATATTATCAGTGTTTCAGTATGTTGCTCAGTAGGACCATTGTTGTTTTGTTATGATTTTGTTTTTTTTTCTAGTCAAATGAAATAATAGCCAAATCAACTGATTTATCAAAATATATTCTTCTGTATGATCTCTTTCATGGACAAGACTTTATCTTTTTTCAGCATAAATAATATCATTATGAATCTCTCCTTAAACATTTTTGGAATTCTTCAGTTTTCTAGTCAACTTTTCAAAAACACAAATTTTTACTAAGAAATTTAATAGCCTAGCCATTATAATTAAATGACATGTATAATTTGAAGTATTGAAAGAAAAAAGAAATTGCATAAATATATAAACAAATATATGCATTATTATTTATAGGTTTTAATTTTCTGGGATTTTCTGGATACATATGAAATACTAAAGTCATTTTTGAGTTCAACAAAGTACGATCAGGTTGTTTGCCGAAAAAATGAAAAATTAATTATGAGTTATAAACTAAATGAAAAGATAGAATACATACATGATACAGGCCCTTTGCACTAAAAGTATACTTTGTTATGGAAATGACTGGCAGAAAGTACAGCTGAATTTTTTATGCCCAACTCTGTAGTCTCATTCAGTATATGTTCATGATTTTTTTTTAAATAAATGTTTTAATTGCCTATCTTGCTAACTTTTGTATTTTACACATTTTTGATGTAGAAATAAGCCATTTATTTGTACAATTTTTTACTTGCTGTTAGTGTATAAATGATATTTTTTGTAATTGTCGCCTACAACTTCATTTTATTAAAATTTTATGCAGAAATATATAATGTTGTTGTGTTTTGTAACACGGCTTTAGAAATATATGGTGATAATTAAAGTGTTAATTTTATATGAGCAGTGAAAACCTAATCTCATCTCAAATGTACCACTTTGACTTCTTTTGACTGGTATTCGAAATGGTTAGTCAGTTTGGCTGTGTGGGATGTATAAATTTACAGCCATATTGAGATTAATTGGGGAATGCCTTTTATAGAGAGAGTGCCGCCTCTCTGCATATTTAAATCGGATGCCTAGTATAGAGAGAGTGCTGCACTCTCTGCACACTGAAAAACCCTTGCAACAACTCTTTGACAGGCCTGAAGGTTGTCTGTTCCAGGGCTAAATTTCTGCCCCATATCAAATATCCTCTTTTCGAGTGGCAGTCCAAATTTCCTGCCCTTTATTCATCAGGTCACACTACCCTTCCTTACCTAACCAACCTATTGTATTATTGTCCCTTATATGCATGATATTATTGCCATATTATTTCCATCAGACATCAAGAAAGTAACAATTAATCAATCATCTCAAATGTATAATTTCAGATCTCAGAGGCAAATAATGAACAATAAAGAGATTATTACAATGACTCTTGATTTACCGTCCCAATCCAAACCACTCCTTTACAACTGCTTTTGACAATAAAACAAAATAAAACTCTAATCACATAATGTAATTATTGTTTATGTAGAAATGGAAAGTAACCAATAATAAATCCCAAAGAATATTAGATAAATGTACATGAAGCAACAAAATTTTGTAATAATTTAACATATTTATCTCCCTTATCTTGAAAGAAAAAAGTAAATAAAAACATTTTGAACATCAACTAATCATGTTGAAAAGAACTTAATTAAGGAATTAAACATACAAAATTGATGTTAATATATAATTTAATTTTGGTTATTTGAATCTTTAGTTTATAATGAAACTTTCTAGCTATATATAGGTCATTATAATTTATTTATGTTCTAGAAAATGAACCATTACAATTTTTTTTTATATACTGAATCACTTGCTAAACTATGTCATAGCTAACAAAGACTTCATTCAATCAATTGATTATGTGAAAATTCCAATTATCCTGGAGGCTTTCTTAAGATCTGGAAGAAACAAACTTGGTGAGTTTAATTTTTCACTTTGAATCACCACAAGGGTTGACTGGGGTACAGAAATATGGTCATCCCTGGATTTCTCCCTTTCCAACAGTTAAACCCTTGCTTGAGTAGGGAGTCTGTTTGACTGTGCAGGATGTATAGATTCACAGGCATATCCAGTTGGAATCTGGAAGTTAAGTCAGATGCCACAAATCCTGCACAAAAAAAGACCCTTTTTAACAACTCTCTGAGGTGGCTTGTTGCAAGGAAAAATTTCTGCCCAAACCCAACATACCTTTCTTTTCCAGTGACAGTCAAAACTTTCTTGTCACCCAACCTGCAGAACCTACAGAATACCTATTATTAGCTCACCGTTCCGAAGGAACTGTGAGCTTTAGCCATCACTTGGCGTCCATCGTTGTCCGTCTGGTGTAAACTATTTCAAACATCTTCTCCTCTGAAACTACTGAACCAATTCCAACCAAACTTAAGCTGAATGATCCTTAAGGTATCTAAAATTAAGTTTGTGCTTTATTTTCTGTTTTCTGCTTATATCTCAAAAAACAAAGCAGTTAGAGCAAATCTGAAATGGGGTAAAAGTGTTCATTAGGTAAAGTTCTATCAGCCCTGAAATTTTCAGATGAATCTAATAACCCATTGTTTTACTAAATTGGTAATTTTAAGGAAATTTTGCAGTTTTTGGTTATTATCTTGAATAGTATTAATGATAAAGATAAACTGTAAACAGCAAATATGTTCAGCAAAGTAAGATCTACAAATAAGTTTCTATGACCAAAATTGTCAATTTACCCCTTAAATCGTTATTGCCCTTTAAGGACAATTTTACACAATTTGTTTATCATGTTTTCTAACTTTTAAAAATCTTCTCCTCTGAAACTACTAAACCAATTCCAACCAAACTTAAGCTTAATGATCCTTAGGGTATCTAGAATAAAGTTTGTGTTTTATTTTCTGTTTCGTCAAAAAACATGGCCACCATGGCTAAAAATTGAACATAGGGGTAAAATGCAGTTTTTGGCTTATATATCTCAAACACTTAAGCTAATAGAGCAAATCTATATATATATATATCTAAAAACCAAAGGAGTTAGAACAAATCTGACATGGGGTAAAAGTGTTCATTAGGTGAAGTTCTTATCAGCCCTGAAATTTTCAGATGAATCTAATAACCCTTTGTTGGGTTGCTGCCACTAAATAGGTAATTTTACAGCTCTTCTTTAAAAGCATGCAAAGCAAACCTTTGATCAACTTGCTTGCTATGTTTGTTTGGATGTTTGTAAACAAAAGGTAGGTAGTCTGTTTCAGTCTGTTTACTATATACTGGAATTTGATTGGACAATAAACATTAACTTCATTGCATGTCAATTTTTATTGTCTAATCAAATTCCAGTATATTCAAAACAGACTGAAACTCCGCCTACCTATTGTTTGCAAACATCCAAGCAAATGTAGCAAGCAAGTTGATCAAAGGTTTGCTTTGCATGCTTTTATAGAAGAGCTGTAAGGAAATTTTGCAGTTTTTGGTTATTATCTTGAATAGTATTAATGATAAAGATAAACTGTAGACAGCAAATATGTTCAGCAAAGTAAGATCTACAAATAAGTTTATATGACCAAAATTGTCAATTTACCCCTTAAGGACTATTGCCCTTTGAGGACAATTTTACACATTTTGTTTATCATGTTTTCCAACTTTAAAAAATCTTCTCCTCTGAAACTACGTACGGAACCAATTCCAACCAAACTTAAGCTGAATGATCCTTGGGGTATCTAGAATAAAGATTGTGTTTTATTTTCTGTTTCGTCAAAAACATGCTCGCCATGGCTAATATTAGAACATAGGGGTAAAATGCAGTTTTTGGCTAATATATCTCAAACACTTAAGCTAATAGAGCAAATCTGATGAGAGGTTAAAATGTTCATTAGGCCAAGTTCTATCAGCCATGAAATTTTCAGACAAATCTAACAGTCCATTGTTGGATTGCTGCCACTAAATTGGTAATTTTAAGGAATTTTGCAGTTTTTGGTTATTATCTTGAATATTATTTATAATAAAGATAAACTGTGAACAGCAAAAATGTTCAGCAAAGTAAGATCTACAAATAAGTTAATATGACCAAAATTGTCAAATGTGTCCTTAAGGAGTTATTGCCCTTTAAAGACAATTTTTCACAATTTGTTCATCTAGTTTGCTTACTTTAAAAAGTCTTTTCCTTTGAAACTGCTGAATCAATTTCAGCCAAACTTGGGCTGAATGAGTTTCAGAGTATCTAGTATAAATTTTGTATTTTATTTTCGTGTACGTCAAGAAACATAGCCACTATATACGGCTAAAATGGAACATAATAGTAAAATGTATTTCTTTGCTTTTGAAGAAAACATGACAGATACAAAGAACATCTCAATGGAATTTTTAAGCCGCTCATTAATATATATTAAAAAGCAAAAATAATCATTGATGAAAGATTTAAGCAAAAAATTACAGGTGAGCGATTCAGGCTCTTGAGAGCCTCTTGTTGTATTAATTGTTAATTTGTTCTCGCCCTGAATACACATGAAATAATTGCCACAGGACTTTAGTTTATGACAATCAAATTTAAAAAAAATATTCCTGATTTGTGATTTATTCATCTGACAGGGACAGATATAATATCCCTTATGGTTTTAATTTCCATCTTGAAGCCACTGTTGTTCTCTATTTAGTTTTACATTTTGCCAGTTAGACTTCTTTATAACATGCCTGTAGTGACTGATCCAGGATTTTCAAAAAGAGGAGCTTATGTTGGTCAATTTTTACGGCGGACTCATTTGCATTTGAGTGAATGGAACTGTTGGTGACAATTTAAAGGTTGTATTGTGAAATACATATTTACGATAGACTTAATGTGCTACTTTTGTGTTAATTAACAAACAAACTCTGGCATAAATTGTGGGAGTTCAATAACAATCCGAAAAAGATAGGATACAAATTCTGCACTATAAATCAAATTTGGATTTTTATGCCCCTGCCTTAGGTGAAAGGGGCATTAAGCGTTACCCTCGACTGTCCATCTTGCCGTCCCTCTTTCCGGCAGTCTTTCCGTCCGTCCCATTTTCGTTTCCCCACTCTAACTTAAGTTTTTCATATGCAAATTTTATGAAACTCATATACAATGCTAAGAACTACAACATGCAGACAAAGTTCCAATTTGGGCAGTGAGTGATTTACTGTTCTAGAGCAATGTCTCTTATTGCAAAGCTTGAGCGGGGGCATTCATGTCCTCAAACACATTCTTCTTTTATTGTGAAATTATTTTGATGATTTATAGATTTCATATTTTATTGAAAAATGATGTTTGTGCTTGAAAAAGATTTATTTCATACTGCTCGTTAATTTTCAATAAAATAAATCATAAGCATTCCTTTAATCTTAACCATATTTTTTTTTTAAAGATTACCGGTAGTAACTATTCGGTGAAATAGCCAACATATTCGTTATTTTAATGATTTTTTATAATACTTGAAAGAGTAATTAATTGACTAATCACCAAAAAAAATGCAGAGAGAAAAATCTGATATTGCAACTTCAAGAAAGATTAATTTTCAATGATTTAGTGGAAATTTAGAGATAGTATCAAAAGGGAATTTAAAAGTAGTGTTTTGAAAAAAGTTCCTGTCAAAATCACAAGATATAAAATTTGAAATTAGAAACAAATTTACAGAATTGATACATTTTAGGAGTACTGATAAAAAGGAATCTGTGTACCAGTATGTCATCTCGTAGTGTCAGGAAATCTGTACTCAGTGTGGAGCAGGACGAAGGAGTAGGAGCTAGAGTTAGGAGGAGTATTGGAAGAAGGGAGGTAATTCGCTAAGAAAATAAAACCAAATAGTTCACATGATGAGAGCAGGATTTAATTTCTATGTGAAAATAAGTGAATTGCAAACTCGCCTAAATACACCTTAAAAGTCAATTATGATTACACAGATATTTGTGAGAATGTTTGTCAACGTGTGTCTATCTTCCAGCTGTTGTTAAACAGGTGGACCAATATTAGTGAAGTGCTTGAAGCATTATTAACTCACCTGGCCAACAAGTCTTTGACAGATATTCTGCCATCCCTCTGCATTTATCATCCAACTGCCTTTTATCCTCTGTAAACTTTTTTTTAAATCTCACCACTGGACCAGTTGAAACCAAACTTGGTCACATAATCCATAGGGTGACAAGTTTCAAATGTGTTCCAGGTGTACCTGCCCATCAGTCAGCAGGGCAGCCATTATTACAAACACGATAAATATAACTTTTGGGTTAAATATCCACAACAGTTGGGTTTATTTCTACTTTCTTCATAATTGTTATATGTAATTGCCTATTCATAGTTAGTGTAATAAGAACACACTACACACTAGTTACAAATGAACCGAATATTGTTAGCTGGCAAATTTAATTTCTGACTAAATTACAACTATTGCAAATAAAAACCTAGTTTTTAATTGAGTTCAGCCTTTACCTATTGAAATGAAGCTTATTCTTTGTATCTGTTTTGTACTGAGAAGTTTCGTGTCCATGATAAGCATCAATACTGTTGACTTGCTTTTGACCATATCGCAGTTTGGGTTTAATTTATTGATAAACTTTTTTGAATGGGTTATATGGGGATTTAACAGTTGCAAAACATGATATAAGGTTTTATCAAAAGCTTTGATAGAATCATTTCGGAAAAGACCAGCAGTGAATGGAGTTCCCTGTTCTTTTTTATTTAAGAATTGAATGCTTCTTTTTGTAATTTTAATGGGATGTAAAGGCATTGACCAAGCACAGTTTGTTTCTGCGCTTCATTATAAAATGTGTGCATGATCAACGCTTTTACAATCCAATAAAATTACAAATCGAAGCCTTCAATTCTTATTATAACATTTTTATGCTACATTAATGAAATGATAAATTGTATAATTTTTTTGTATGTTTTCTGTTGCATTATTGTAGGATTGTCATGGGAAGCATGTGTAGTCATGAATGTTGCATTTTATTGGGAAATAAAATATAATTTTGGAATGCTTTGTTATTGATGGCACCCAATCAGAAGTACAAATTCTTATGAAACACATGTTAGGTAATTATTATGAATTGGGTTTCAAAAAGAATTTATTTAAATTACGGTCTCAAATGATTGCAAAAGACATAATGGACAAAAAGGACTGTGCAAAACATGAACAAATGTCTGTATATAATTTTAGATACCAAACTTAGATCCATTCTTGATGTTAGATGAGTTCAAAGGTGATGGGAAAGGAGGGTTTCCTGATCATCCACACAGAGGATTTGAAACTGTAAGTTGAAGCCAACACTCACTACTGAATTATTTGATTTGCTAGACAGTGTTAATGAATATTGTATTACAAGAATTATGTACAAATTATAAGTGTTACTTTATAGAGGCAAACAAACCGTATATGTTGTTTCAGAAAATATGTAATGGAAAGAATGAATCCTGGAGACAACAGCAAAAATTGCTTGTGGGCATTAAAAATCTCTTAGTTTTTATACGACCGCAAAAAAATTTTGCGGTCGTATATTGGTTTTGACGTCGTCGTCGTCGTCGTCCGAATACACATTGGTTTTCACACTCTAACTTTAGTTTAAGTGAATGGATCTCTATGAAATTTAACCATAAGGTTCAATACCACAAAAGGAAGGTTGGGATTGATTTTGGGGGTTATGGTACCAACAGTTAAGGAATAAGGGGCCAAAAAGGGGCCAAAAATAAGCATTTTTGTAACTTCCAGGCATAACTTGTGTGTTAGTGTATGGATCTCTCTGACATTGTACCACAAGGTTCCATATCACAAAGGGAATGCTGGGATTGATTTTGGGGGTAATTACCTTAAAATTTTAGGAAGTAGGGGCCAACAAAGGGGCAAAAAACAAGCATTTTACTAGTTTCATGATAATAACTTGTGTGTAAGTGTATGGATCTTTCTGAAATTGTACTACAAGGTTCCATATCACAAAGGGAAAGCTGGAATTGAGTTTGGGGGTAATTGCCCAAAACGTTTAGGAATAAGGGGCCAAAACGGGGCCAAAAATAAGCTTTTCTAGTTTCCAGACAATAACTTGTGTTCAAGTGTATGGATCTCTCTGAAATTGTACTACAAGGTTCAATATCACAAAGGGAAAGCTGGGTTTGAGTTTGGGGGTACGTTTAGGAATTTGGGGTCAAAAAGGGGCCTAAAAACAAGCATTTTTCTAGTTTCCAGACAATAACTTGTAATCAAGTGTATGGATCTCTCTGAAATTGTACTGCAAGGTACCATACCAAAAGGGAAGGCTGGGATTGAGTTTGGGGGTGATGAATCATAAGGGGGTTCAAAAAATTTGGGGGAGGGATTTTTTTTTCTTTAAAATTTTCCATTTTAAATTGGTTATTTCTGATTTATATATAAAAGCAAATAATAATGATATGGTTTGAATAGGTGAATTAAAATTTTTTAAGTTCTTAGACCACATTCATTCTGTGTCAGAAACCTATTCTGTGTCAAATATTTAAATGGGCCCAGTTTTCAAGTTGGTCCAAGTTGGGGTCCAAAATTAAAAGTTGTTTGATTTCATCAAAAATTGAATATATGGGGTTCTTTGATATGCTGAATCTGACCGTGTATTTTGATTTTTGGGCCCTGTTATCAAATTGGTCCACATTGAGGTCAAAAGGGTCCAAAATTAAACTTTGTTTGATTTCGTCAAAAATTGAATTCTTTGGATTCTTTGATATGCTGAATCTAACCATGTATTTAGATTTTGGATATTGGACCATAATAGGTAAATTAAAAAATTCTAAGTTCTTAGACCACATTCATTCTGTGTCAGAAACCTATGCTGTGTCAAATATTTAATCACAATCCAAATTCAGAGCTGTATCAAGCTTGAATGTTGTGTCCATACTTGCCCCAACTGTTCAGGGTTCGACCTCTGCAGTCGTATCAAGCTGCGCCCAGCGGAGCATTTTATTGGTAAATGTATACATGTTTAACTCAAATAATTCAAGCCCTTACTGACACTGATTAGCTCCCCCTTTCAATGGGTATCATAGTGAGCTGAATTGTTCATGCTTTTAAAATTAACATTGTCAAGATTTTACTTTTAAGTATTTATCAAATTGGCAAATACCAAACTACTTACAATTGGGCGGAGGACTACAGTCCACCAGCAACAGTATTGATCCAGTGGTAGTAATTCAGGTTCAACATACTACCAATAATGAAAAAGAAGTGTTATGGTTTATTAACTCATCACACAAAATTGTTACCAGTAATTGCACTCAACAAAACCAGTAGAAGAGGAACAGCACTATTTTGCTGTTCTTCCTCTTAAAAACAGACCAAAAACTCCCACCTCATTGCAAGTTCAAGACAGTCCCTTACATTATTGTATTTATTGTAGGTTAGCTACATAATAAAAGGGGGTGTACAACACGAAGATTTCTGTGGACACAAAGGTACACTAGATGATGGTGATGTTCAGGTATGAGAAAAAAATAGTTTTTTACATTATGTTTGTTATAACAAATGCAGGTTTAGTCAGTTGAACTCTGCACTCTGTTTTCTATGCCTTATTGTGGTTGAAATCCAGAAGATTTTGTTTACTTCGCAAAATTCCTGTTTTCAACCTAATTGGGGTGCAACTGAAAAAAATAATCCCTTTTCACACAGATATGCATGAACTTTTCATCTTGACATAATGATTTAATATTTGGAGCAAAAAAGGCCCATACGGAACTACTCTAAAATAAAATTCTTTCTTTAGATTTAAGAACAAAACTAAGACACAAGGGACCAAATTATGGTGGGTTTGCTTTTCCTTGAATTATAGATTGAATGTATATGACAGACAGATAATTATGATTTTTTATAATAAAGTTCTGTTCAAAGTCATTACAAGTAGCAATCATTTTAATCCTAATGGTAGATTTCAGTTTGCATTTTGTTCAGATGAGGAAAAGATTTGCCATTAAAGAATTTTTATGAGGAGATGTCATATTCCCTGTACAGATATATGGGAGTGGGACTGAAGTTATTTTTATTTTCTATAGTGGATGACAGCAGGTAGAGGAATTGTCCACAGTGAAATACCAAAGAATGGTATAACAGAACAACATGGTCTACAGTTGTGGGTCAATCTAGCTCATAAAGATAAAATGATAGATCCTACATACCAAGAATTGAAAGACAAGGACATCCCAAAGACAAAACAAAATGGTGTCAGGGTCAAGGTCATAGCTGGTGAATCCTTAGGAATTAAGGTTTATAACTTTTATTTGTTTAACATGTTTGATTTACTGACTCATATATTGCATATCGAGTGATAACTGTGGTGTTTGAAGATGCTGCAAATGACAACAACAAAAATGAATTACTAAAGCAGCAAATATGAAAATACTGTCAACCATGATGGACAGAAACAGATATTCAGGAAAAATATTTAGTCTGAAACAAGTAAAAGAAATGAAATGTCCAGGAAGGTGGTTCCTATTCATTATATGACACTTGTCTTAATGCCCGAGAAACAAGCATGTAACATTTATAATGTAAAATGTTTAATTTTATTTCTTGCAAAAACCTACTTTTATTAGGCAGATGCCATTTCATTTAAACAAAGGGGAAGGAAAAAAATAGTAAGAACTTTATATTCCCATTTTAGCTTTAAACATGATTTTGTGTAGATCTCTTCTACAGATGTCGTTTAGTAAATTGTATTTTAAATGAATTTTTGTATTGTCTTCCAGTCAAGCATATTTACCAGAACTCCTACAATGTATTTAGACTTCAAGTTGGATCAAGGAGCTGTGTTAAACCAACCAATCCCTACAGAATGGAATGCTTTTATTTATACATTGGCAGGAAAAGTTTGTATAGGTATGGATCAGTTTTGTTGTTAAATGAGTATATAAGTTGATGATAAAAAGATTCTAGATTAATCTCAGAAAAATTGTTTGAATAGTATATTGATTTATTTATTTAATTTTGATGTCTCTGATGAAGAACCGAACTCTGTTTTATTATGCCCCACCTAAGGGTATTATGTTTTTTGGTCTGTACGTCCATTTAATTGTCCGTTCGTCTGTCTGTTCGTTCGTCAATCTGTCCCGCTTTAGGTTAAAGTTTTTGGTCAAGGTAGTTTTTGATGAAGTTGAAGTCCAATCAACTTGAAACTTAGTACACATGTTCCCTATCATATGATCTTTCTAATTTTAATGCCAATTTAGAGTTTTGACCCCAATTTCACAGTCCACTGAACATAGAAAATGATAGTGCGAGTGGGGCATCCATGTACTATGGACACATTCTTGTTTATTCATAATTTTTATAGAATATTGGTAATTTTGAGTTTGACATATTAAATAGACATTTGTCTAATGTTGAAGTTTGTGGTTTTTAACTTTTAGATGTTTCGTTTTTTTTAATGTGTCAATAGGTTGCTATCTCGTCACAAACATCCTGCATTTCATTTTATTTAATTTAATTTTTTTTTCCAAATTAGAAATGAATATCTCTTAAAACTATAAATTATAATGTTTGAAAATGGTAGGCAGAGGATAAATGTTAATTTGTTTGTCCAGGTTACTTGAGGGATGAGAAACTAGAAACATTTTTATATGACCTTAGTCACTTAACTTTAAGAATAATAAAAGAAGTTAGTCTGCTACCATATGAAAATGTTTTATGGAGAGCAGTATTTACATTAATGTAGAAGTGTAACTGGTGACAAATGTAGAAACTTATTTTTAACTATAAAATTTTTTTTTCAACAAACATGCCAATATGTATGGTACTTACATTTGAAACATCATAGGCTGAAGAAAAATATTATCTGTTAAAAAGTAAGGTTGATTTGATTCCCACTTCAGTCATTTCATAAAGTTGCTACTATACAATGTGTATAATTTTGATGTACATGACGTGAATTTTCACTACTCTTCATTAAATCACAGCAATTGGTTTAACCAGCTAAAGTTATTATACTAAAAATAAAGATTCTTTTAAAATTATTAATTGTTCCTAATTAGTCAAACCCTATACTCTGGCATGGAACAAAAAATGAGAGGAATACAACCTGAATCATTGGTGTACATGATCTTATGGCAGAATGCTTATCAATTTGTTTTACATGATGTATATTTGGTTTATGTTTCAAAAAGAAACTATAGACCCTTTTACAGGTGTCCTTTATTGATAGCCTGAATTTGATTTAAAATTACAAATTGATACGAGTTATTCAACTTCCTAGCATGTAGTACTTCTATAATAGCTACTGAAAAGTAGAAGATATAGATTTGTTACTAAAATACTGAAATATTTTCAGCTTTTTTGTTAGAGAGTTAATTTGTAAGAGGAACTGAAGTCACAATATTATATCAACCAAATATTGCATTGAAATTAACAGGGAATAACTGCTTCTCATCATTACCCTTTATTTGTAAGTAATATATATGTGAACCAGGAATTCCAGTGTTCAAGGAAATACCAATTTCTTATATGCTTGTACACTGAATTGATCACAACCACGAAATCAAGTACATGTATGAACAAAAATATAATTTTTCTTCAATCCTTAAAAATTTGTACCAACAAAACTAAATTAGTCCACAGTATCCTATTCATATTGCTGTAGAAAATTTTCCAATATTAATAGCAATTACTTTTTCTTTCTGATTATAAGGTAAGGAAGATAGCGCCGGAGAATATGACCCTCATCATACCGTGGTGTTAGAACAGAATGGTGACCATGTTACAGTGGAAAATAAGGTAAGGGAACTTTGATTATAAAGTAAGGGAGAAAGCCCTGGAGAGTATGACCCTCATCATACTGTGGTGTTAGAACAGAATGGTGACCACATTAGAGTGGAAAATAAGGTAAGGGAACTTTGATTATAAGATAAGGAAGATAGCCCTGGAGAGTATGACTCTCATCATACCGTGGTGTTAGAACAGAATGGTGACCATGTTACAGTGGAAAATAAGGTAAGGGAACTTTGATTATAAGGTAAGGAAGAAAGCCCTGGAGAGTATGACCCTCATCATACCGTGGTGTTAGAACAGAATGGTGACCATGTTACAGTGGAAAATAAGGTAAGGGAACTTTGATTATAAGGTTAGGAAGAAAGCCCTGGAGAGTATGACCCTCATCATACCGTGGTGTTAGAACAGAATGGTGACCATGTTACAGTGGAAAATAAGGTAAGGGAACTTTGATTATAAGGTAAGGAAGAAAGCCCTGGAGAGTATGACCCTCATCATACCGTGGTGTTAGAACAGAATGGTGACCATGTTACAGTGGAAAATAAGGTAAGGGAACTTTGATTATAAGGTAAGGAAGAAAGCCCTGGAGAGTATGACCCTCATCATACCGTGGTGTTAGAACAGAATGGTGACCATGTTACAGTGGAAAATAAGGTAAGGGAACTTTGATTATAAGGTAAGGAAGAAAGCCCTGGAGAGTATGACCCTCATCATACCGTGGTGTTAGAACAGAATGGTGACCATGTTACAGTGGAAAATAAGGTAAGGGAACTTTGATTATAAGGTAAGGAAGAAAGCCCTGGAGAGTATGACCCTCATCATACTGTGGTGTTAGAACAGAATGGTGACCATGTTACAGTGGAAAATAAGGTAAGGGAACTTTGATTATAAGGTAAGGAAGAAAGCCCTGGAGAGTATGACCCTCATCATACCGTGGTGTTAGAACAGAATGGTGACCATATTAGAGTGGAAAATAAGGTAAGGGAACTTTGATTATAAGGTAAGGAAGAAAGCCCTGGAGAGTATGACCCTCATCATACCGTGGTGTTAGAACAGAATGGTGACCATGTTACAGTGGAAAATAAGGTAAGGGAACTTTGATTATAAGGTAAGGAAGAAAGCCCTGGAGAGTATGACCCTCATCATACCGTGGTGTTAGAACAGAATGGTGACCATGTTACAGTGGAAAATAAGGTAAGGGAACTTTGATTATAAGGTAAGGGAGATAGCGCTGGAGACAACTCTGAAAATTAAAGCTTGGGTAGTAAAAATTTCCTTAAAACAGATATTACATCAAAATGTCACTTAAAATCAGCTGATGATGTTTGCACTTGTCACAATTATCTAAGGAAAGCATGTTTGATTGTACATGGTTGAGGGGAGATAAATCACACTATTTTTGAGGCATCTTTTGTGGAACAAAGAATAAATGCAAGTTTTATTTCAAATCTTTCTTACTATTTATTTTTGTTTCATGTTAATGTTACTTAAATACTGTTGTTTGTGGTAAAGTTTTCTAAAAAGATATAAAATTAATTAATTAATATTGTTCTCATTGGTGTAAAAAAATTAATTAAAAGGGAGATTATCAGATAAATACTGGAGATAATTTTAAACCACCGACCAGAAACGAACCAATGCATATAGAAGAACTGCTAACCATATTTTTAGAATGTACCTCAAAATGAAAAAGTAACAAAAAGTACACACAGAATAGGAAAAACGACGAAAATTAATAGAATATAACTAAGAAATAGATATGGAAGATCTGCCATGTGCAATGGTATAGTTTCACATACTTTAGATTTGACAAACAGTGATGTTGAAGTATGACTTGAAATTGTTGTGCTGTCTGTATAAGACACAAATGATGCCCCCGCCTGACCATAAGAAATTATAAATTTAACACTAAGTATGATGATCTATCTTTCATTTTTATTCTGAATGTCTACACTTGTAGGACTGCATGTCCAACTTTCCAGTTTTAGTAGTCACCAAATTAAAATTTCTATTTCCAGTGGTCACCAAGTTCAACTTTCCGGTATTGATTAAATATTTGACAATACTAAAAAGTCTTAATTATTGCATTAGGGATATTAAACTGTAATAGTACAAACCATGTTTTCAATTATATAGCAAGAGAGAAGGAAATGAAGTCCAACTACCAGTTTTTGTGAATATCTTACATCCCCCTCCCTTTCTGACTTTTAGTACAAAAAAATGACCAAATCCAAACACCTGGCATTTTGAGAATATTTGAAATGAACAAAATCAAAATCTTGGGACATGCACAATTCCATTATATGTACAAACATCCTAAAATTTTTGAATCTGTAGATCAAAAACTGCAGGAGATAACCAGACTAGGCATTTTAAGAATATTTGAAAAAAATCAAAATCCTATGGACATGTGCACCTCTTTTATGTGTAGAAACATCCTAAAATATATTAAAGCTGTATCTCAAAAACTGTAGAAGATAGCTGGACATATCATGTATTTATATCCAGACAGATGGACAGGCGGACAGACAGGGGTAAATCAATATGCCCTACAACATTTTGTTGCGGGGGCATAAAAAGGAGGAACGACAAGACTAATGGGATGTTTTCAAATCTTATAGGTCACAACAAATAAATCTAATGGAGCAAAGGGAAAAATCTGATATCAATTAGATTGGAGAACAGACAAATAAAAATGTTTTGATAAAACACCTTTGATTATCTGAAGTGCAGAACAATGGTATTCATTAATTTCTTAAATTAAGGTTTTGATTGAATTTTGAAATATGTTGAATTATTTTTTTCAGAATTCAGAAGTTGCACATTTTCTATTGATAGCAGGACTACCTTTAAAGGAACCAATAAAAAAACATGGTAAACACTTTTGAGTTTTTATTATATCATAACATCTGTTGATGAAGAACAAACTATATTGTATAACAATAATTTTTTATGCATTTCAAAGACAGACAAATTATGGTATACCAATTTCCATCAATCTGTCCATCTGTGCCTATTCACAGGTAACTCAAGTATGTTTTTACAAATCCTTACAAAATTTACAAAATTTTATGTTCTAAAATAAAACTACTTTTTGATTTTAAGATTTTTATTTCCAGAGTTATGAGACTTTAATTGTAAAAACTAGGCAGTTTTTCATATGTTTCATTATTTCACAAATGTCAAACTAAGTAGGACAGAAGCAAACATGTCAAAATAGTTTTTCTGTCACTTCTCTGATCTAAAGAAAATTGACTGTATCTGATATAAAAAGCTCATATGCACTTAAAATTTTACACTATCTGCCTTGCCAAAAGATATTATAATTCGGTGTGGTGTCATGTAGAAAAAAAAAAGAGAAAAAAATCAATAGACATGCTAAATATACTCCCATTCCTTTAAGTTGCATTCATACAAAATTGAAAGTCATGTATTTTTTTGTTGTTGTGACATTTCTGATTAATCCTTCACACTACATTTCTGAAATAGTGATCCAAAAAGAAAACAAAATTTAGACTTAACTTACATATTACATACAACACGACAGGTGCCACATGTGGAACGGGATCTGCTTACCCTTCCGGAGCACCTGAGATCACCCCCGGACTTTAGTGGGGTTCGTGTTGCTCAGTATTTAGTTTTCTATGTTGTGTTTTGTGTACTGTTGGTCTTTTTCTTTTTTAGCCATGGTATTGTCAGTTTATTTTTGACTTATGAGTTTGAATGACCCTTTGGTATCTTTCGCCTCTCTTTTAAACACCAAAGGATAGTGTGTACTTGTAGTTGAGCCAATATCCCATTGGAAAATCACGTGCAGCTGTTAGTGTTGTAACTTGTACCTCCATAAAAGTCACAATTCACTGTGATTCATATCTATATAAAGTTCTTACAAGCAAAAAATATTTTTAGCATAATGTTATGCTGTGTTACCATGGTTTTCAAAACATGTATGAAATTAGTGACAACAAATAAATAGATAAAACAAATTTTAATACACAAGTCCATTTTACTTTCAGGACCATTTGTGATGACAACCGATGAGGAGATAGAACAAGCTATATCAGACTACAGAAATGGAAGAAACGGATTTGAAAAAGCACTGACTTGGCAATCAAAGTATATGAAAAAACAGAAAAAGAAAATGTAACATACATTTGCCTGACACTTTTTAATTGTTATTATTTTTTTTATGTTGTTTACATTGTTTGTATGCATTCTTCTAATTTGTGATTTGAAGACATGTAAAATTATTTGTAACTAAGTCTGTTATACTACCGCAAAATTTTTGCATTCGTATAATGTTATGACGTTGTCAGCGTCATCGTTGTTGTTGTCCGAAGACATTTGGTTTCAAGACAATAACTTGAGAATAACTGTATGGATCTCTATGAAATTGTACCACAAGGCTCCATACCTCAAAAGGAAGGTTGGGATTGATTTTTAGGGTCATGACCCAAACTGTTCAGGAATTGGGGGCCAAAAAAACAAGGATTTTCTGGTTTCCGGACAATAACTTGAGTATAAGTTTATGGATCTCTATGAAATTGTACCACAAGGTTCCATTGATTTTGGGGGTTATGGCCCTAACCGTTTAAAAAAAAGGGGCCAAAAACAATACTTTTCTAATACTTTGTATAAATTGCACATTTTAATGTGGTTTAATTCAAAGTCTTGAATTCTTAGGGTTCTTTAATATGCTGAATCTAACCGTGTATTTAGATTTTGAATTTTGGGCCCTGTTTTTCAAATTTATCCACATTAAGGTCCACAGGGTCCAAAATTAAACTTTGATTTCATAAAAAATTGAATTTTTGGTGTTCTTTAATATACCGAATTTAACAGTGTATTTAGATTTTTAATTTTAGGGCCCTTTTTCAAATTGGTTCACATTCAGGTCCAAAGGGTCCAAAATTGACCTTTGTTTAAAGTAAAAATAAATTGAATTCTTGGGGTTCCTTGATATGCTGAATCTATCCGTGTACTTTAGATTTTGAATTTTGGGACAGGTTTTCAATTTCACATTAAGGTCCAAAGTGTCCAAAATTAAACTTAGTTTGATTTTAACAGAAATTGCATTCAAGGGGTTCTTTGATATGCTGAATCTAAACATGGCTTTAGATTTTGGATTTTGGGCCCAGTTTTTGAATTGATCCAAATCTGAGTCCAAAATTCAACTCTGATTTAAACAAACATATGGGGTTCTTTGATATGCTGAAACTAACTGTGTATTAAGATTTTGGATTACAGGCCCGTTATCAAATTGGTTTGAGGTCCAAAATTAAACTTTGTTTGATTTCATCAAAAATTGAATTCTTAGGGTTCTTTGATATGCTGATAACCATGTATTTAGATTTTGGATATTGAACCATAATAGGTAAATGTCCAATTTCAAATTTTTAAGTTCTAAGACCACATTCATTCTATGTCAAAAACTATGCCATGTCAAATATATAATCACAATCCAAATTCAGAGCTGTATTGCACAACTAATAGAAATTGAAAGTAGAATCATAGTTAAAAATAGATATAGCATCAAATCTAATTTCAGAGAAGAAATTATGTATAAATTTAGTTTGAAATTTACTGTCCATTATCAGATAATTTGGAAAATAATCAAAGGTTAGTTTTATAAAAAATTTTAAAGACATTGTATAAATGATGAATGATATTTTGGAAATTGTTATTTTCATTTTTTTTTTTAATTTTGAAGAACTATGTGGTAGGTTTGTTTGTTATTCTGTATAAATTAATTTTCAGAATGCTAAATATATATATATTTTTTGATGAAGCGAAACCCTTTAAAAACTTAGCTTATATTGTCCATTAATAAATAAATTAATTAAATTCTTGGTGTACTGGATATGCTGAATCTAACTGTTTATTTAAATTTTGGATATTGGACCATAATAGGTAAAAGTCCAATTTCAAATTTTTCAGTTCTTTGACCACATTCATTCTGTGTCACAAACCTATGCTGTGTCAAATATAAAATCACAATCCAATTTCAGAGCTGTATCAAGCTTGAATGTAGTGTCCATACTTGCACCAACTGTTCAGGGTTCAACCTCTGCGGTCATATCAAGCTGTGCCTAGCAGAGCATTTTATTATTTATTTTGCAGATATTTTGAATTTTACTGAATAATTTCAGAAATGCACCACTAATATTAAGTTATTTGAATTAAAATCATCTGATGTTCTTGAAAAATTCACCAAGGTGAACCATATATTAACTTATTGCAACTGGAATTAATAGCACTTCAATTTGTGAAAATGAAAAATTGCCTTATTTTCATTGTTGGTAATAATGATAAAATATCTTCTATTTTATCTGTTATTTGTCAAGAGTTTTAACATTAATCTGAAACAATTGTAGGTTTGTATGTCTTTTAATCCAATTTTTTTGGAACTCTTTTCAAATATTTAACTTTGACATTCTTTTATATTCAATCTGAAATGCATCTCTAAAGTATTATTTTTGTAAGTCATTATGTCTGATAACTGTACTGTGTTTAACCTATAGTACTTTTTTCTAACCATCTTACCATGTCCAATCTGTTGTTGATCCTTTAGCTTTAGTCCTGAAAATGTCCCAAAAATGTTTGATTGAAAAGTCAGGGAATTAGAATTTTTATTCATCACGTTCACAGTAATAATAGCAAATATCATATCAGTATAAGCATAATATGTTCTTACACACAGAATTGAAACAAAAGTTTCAGTCACATTGTATTTTTTTGGTTTATACAGATTTCTCTTGATCTATAAACATCTACATTTATGTTAACCTTGTTAAATGTTGAGTGCCTCAGCTATGTCTAGTTCTGTTACATGAAAAGTTGTTTGTTGTTAATAAAAATGGTATCATATAGTTATTTCATATGTATATATGAAAAATCAGCCTAAATTTGATTTGAAAAAGTTTTATTCATAGTTTTAATAAAATATATCTTAAAACCTGCTCATCTAGGATAAGAAGTGCCACTCAAAGTACAGTATACATCCTAAAACATACCATGTAATGTCATTGACCTTGTAACCACTCTTATACATACTCATGCATGTTTTATGCACCATATTGAAATTTAAAAGCAAGTGAAAAACGTACATAATTTTGTTTTTCTAACCAAAACTTGATCATTTTGGTGTAGCAATTTTCCCCTGTTTAGTTCACATTGGTGTACCAATTGAAACTTGAAAATCCTATGTTTGGTTTAAATTGTTTCTGATTTATCACGGAAGATTATAAGAAATAAATCATGATAGAAGACAGAAGACATGAAATGTTAAATGTCGGTCAAATCATACATCTAAGATTTGTAATTGATGTCTTCAAGCATGGCTGTCATTCTAACTAGAAATAGAAATTTTACAAAAATTCAAATAGAATTACTGAAAAAAATATGTGAAGGATACATTTATGATACTCTTAAAGAACTGAGTTGGTGACCCAATCAATCTTCTTCATCAGTTGAAGTCATCTGTTGCAGCTTTATTTTTTGGGGAAAATCTTCTCTGAAAAACAGGACCCATTTCACCCAAATTTGAGCTGATTGAATCTTTGGATATCCAATATAAAGCTTATGTTTTGTTCCTGCCAATCAACCAATTGGCCTCTCTGGCTAAAAATAGAATATATGGGGAAAATTCAAAGAAAATGTTCATTATGTTAAAAACCATCAGAGATAGAGAAAATGTGACTGGAAAAAAATGTTCTGAATCACAAGATTTAGAGAAAATCTCATGGGACAATGTCAAGGTCTACCTACTCTGCATTTCCACTAAAATTATCAGATGACTTCTTATTGAAGCCTTTAAATTAAATTTTTTTACCAATTTTCGTGGGGTTTTTTGGTACTATCTCAAACACCTACAATAGAAAAGTAGAAAATTTAAACAGCAAAACAGATGAACAATGCAAGGTCAACAAAAATCCTCATATGACTTAAACCAACAAATGACTCTTTTTTTAAAATCATTGTTCTTAAAAGAGAGGCGAAAGATACCAAAGGGACAAAAATTTTCAAAAGACAAAGAACAGTATACAAAACACAACAACGAAGACTAAAATCTGAGCAACATTCTAAAACAGGGGCTGATCTCAGGTGCTCCGGTCGGATATGCTCCATATGTGACACTTGTCATGTTACTCCTATAAAATATTTGTATACGTTATATCAAGCGATTAATCACTAAATAACAGATTGGTAATATTGACTCTTATCTAACCCTAAGTCATCACCAAATTCATAAACCCTCTGTCAACTAAATTTTCTAACCCTGAAACTTAACTGAATGTGAAATTTTGAAATTGAAACACTTTTTTCATGACAAAGGATAGACAAGACAATAACCGTAATGAACACCACATGCATTCAAAAACAAAGAAAGAACAAAACTAAAAACCAAAGCAACACAAACCCCGTGAAACAAAACTAGGGGTGATCTCAGGTGCTCGGAAGGGTTAGCAGATCCTGCTCCACCTGATTATGGCAACCGTTGTGTTGCTCATGTAAGACAAAGTACAAACCCGGTGATAAGTCTAATTCGGTAGGTCACGTTCGAGGAAAAGAGGATGGGATTGTTGTTACGACAATTGGAACATCGTCATCTGTGAAACAGATATTCCATAACGGTCAACCAACTCGTGATGGCGTCCGTAAAATTTCCGAAGGGATGATTTAAACTTCACCACTTGGGACTCTTGGTTTGAAAGCTTCCTTGTAAGCAGCAACCTTCTATCAAGAAAATCTTGATAGGAAATGCAAGCTCTGGAATATCGTATCAACTGGGATATATTTACTCCATATGCAGGCGCTGTTGGAATGTTGCTTCATATAAATAGAAAGTTCACAACTGGGAAGCTGAAATCATCTCTTTTGTCGTACAGTTTTGTTCTCAACCGATCCTCATTGTCAATTTCTAGATGTAAGTCAAGATACGATGCATACTTAAATGTATCTGTTGTATCCTTAATTTCAAGTTCGATGGAATAGATGTGTTCAACATAGTCACCAAACTTTGAATTATTTAGTGAGAGGACATTATCTATATAGCGGAACATGAAGTTAAAGGGTAACGCTAGCTTCTGTTCGTGCTTCCGAAGAAACTACTGTATGAAGTCTTTCTCAAACGAATAAAGGAACAAGTCGTCAAGAAGAGGAGCACAGTTGGTCTTCCAAATGTAACAAATATGTTGTCTATCAATAAATCAAGCATCTTGATAATGACAATTTTTTACTTATTTCAGTGTTTTTGCCTATTATTTTGACAACTATTATAGATAGACAGTTGACATAAATTGTACACAGCAAAACTGATGAGCAAAACAAAAGCTACAAAACTGCCAAAATGACTGAAATGATCGGTTCATTCGGTCAGAGACATATATACACATGTGTATATATGTCTCTGATTCGGTTGACTACTTATTAGAGTATACAGCTTATTGCCCATTGATGACAATTTTTGATTCACTTAAGCACTTTTGACTTTTATCTTGAAACTATAATTGATAGATAGAAATATTGTAAATAGCAAAAATGGTCAGTAATACAAGATCTACAAAAAATACAAATTTGAACCAAATAATCTTACATTTTCAAGAGTTATTGCCCTTTAGTTACATTTTTTTGACAATTTTAGCATGTTTGCCTTCTCTCATGAAAACAGTTGTAGCTATTAAGAAAATATTAATAGCCAAAAAGATCAGCAAAACAAGATAAAACTAAGATATAAATAAAACTATCAATTGACTCCTCATATGTGTTACATTGCCCCTAAACTACGAGGTTTTTTTTTGACAAATTTTAGCATTTTATAGCCTTCAATAGAAAGAATTATTTTTCTTGCCTGTGCCCCCAGATTTTTTGGTTCCCTTATCAGTTTAAAAATTTTGCTTCGGGTAGTTTACCATGAAGTTGTGGTCACATCAACTTAAATGTTTACTTATTATTATACCAAATTAAGGTTTTTACCCAGATTGTGTGCTTCACTGATCATTGAAACGTGATGGCGCAAGCAGGGATGGTGTCTTATGGACACATATTCTTGTTGCTTATTATCTTGAAAACTATAATACAGTTAAGACAAGCAGAAATTGTAAACAGCAAAACTAATAAGTATAAATACAAGATCTTCAAAAATGCCAATATGACCGAAACCATCAGACAACATCTTCTATTGATTGTCCTTTTAATTAATGTTTGACTAACTTCGCATTTTTGCCTACTAACTTGAAAACTATAACAGATAGACAGATGACGTAGACATAAAAATTATCAGCAAACATTTATCATGCTGGTATTTATATAAAAAGCATAGAACATCCAAACTGATCAAACCTACATATTCATGACAACGATGCATTTGGATGGTCTAACTAGATGCGTTTCTGTTTTTTTCTATTTAATTTGTTTATTCCCAACAATTAAAGCATATACATGACATACATACATTATAATACATGCAAGATATATACAATGTCATTATTAAAAATACATTATAATTGGAAATATTTGACATTTTCTATAGAACAGATCAAAAGAAAAAAGTTTAAAAAAAATATATAAAAATTAATAGATAAATACATAATAATAATTAACAGATAGTATAGGAGTGAAAAATGCAGAAGAAAAAGAAGGGGAAAAAATAAAAGGAATTATCCAGTTACATCCCTATCTATATTTTTTTTTAATTTTAAATGTAACATATTCATGATGAAAAATATTTGAAAAGTTAACTATACATATTTCTTTCGTAACAGCCAGCAACACAGATCAAGAACAATAATATATTCGCTAAAAAAAATTATTGGCTAATAGTCGCAAGTAAATAGAACAAAATTAGTCATTAGCATGTATCAATAACAGGTTTTCAAAAACTTTCCATACATTGTCAATTTCAGTTATTTTTTTATTTTTTTTACAGCTATCATACTGTCTAATTTATACATATCTTTCAGTTTTATTTTAATTGCTTGCAATGAGAGATTCTTTTAAAGCATCTAGAATTATACATATATTGTTTAATATAAAGAAAAATCATGTTGTATGAGTTGTTGGGGAATATCTTGGATAAGTCTCCAAAAAGAAAGTTTAATTTATTCGTTGGGAGACTTATTCCGCCAGAAAGGAACCTGTTATCAATATCCTGTAGAAAATTGTGTACAGTAATGCAACTCCAAAAGAGATGTTCTATAGATCTAGACTCGTTTTCTGTTTTACAAAATGTACATAAAGGATCATCAGTAAGTTTTATTTTAACTAGATACTGATTTGTTGCAATAATGCAATGGCTAATCCTGTATTGCAACCACTGTAATTTACTATTTTTAGTAACAGCAAAAGGCAGTCTGAAATTTTTTTTCCAGTTCAGATTCTGTTCACCTAAAATTTTAACCCACCTTAACTGTTCTGTCGGAATAACATTATTTCTAGTCAGTACCGAATACATATCTTTTGATCCTTTACAGTGTTTTAAAAATACTTGTAGACCTGATGGTTTAAAAGGACAACATAGTTTGTAGGATCCTTTAGTGAAAGATTTAGATGCCTCTTTCAGTGCCGAAATGACACTGTTAAATTTTAGAAAATCTGTGTTATTGTTATAGTATTGCTTAAATTGGTCAAATGAAATATAAGATCTATTTTGGTCTATTAAATCAATTACAAATCTTATACCATTTTTAAACCATTCTTGATAAAATACTGATTTATGACCAATCTTAATGCTATTATTAAGCCATAGTGGATTTGATAAAAATGAATCATACGTGAAGTTTCTCTCTTTTTGAATAATCATTTCCCAGGATCTTAGTACATCTTTCCAAAAATAGTTGTTTACTGTCACATATAATTATCTAATATAA